CACATTCTGTCCGTGTTTCACACTTCCTGGAAGGGGGTTCTGTTAACATTAGCCGCTCCTGGCTAATGCTGCGCATGCCACTTGATTCCGAAACGTCTCGTTTCCATCCTTAATTAGGCCTTAATTAATTACAAAACGTTTAGGATTCTTTCGTATCGTAAAGGATGCACGATTTCTTTGATACAGTGTATATTGTTAACGAAGGAAGACGCGTTTCCTTCGATGCGATGATACGATGCGAATTGCGATCGTGATGACGAATGGAAAAAAATAATATGAGTTGAACGAAGAGGATATTTATCATTAGGATATAGGTTGTAGCAAGCGTTGAGTTAAGAATTGCAGCAGAATGTACAGAAAGGTACAGAAAGGTGTAGAAATTTTCAATGTAGAAATTTTGAAAATTTTTTTAAGTCATTCTTCGATACGTGTTATTTTTGGAATTCTGATAATTTTCTATTGATCTATTCGCGGGGGTTCTTTAAAGCAAACTTTCATTTCTTTCCTAACATCCTAAGTTTCCCTCTTTTTTTTTTTTTTTTCACGATAGATCTAGGAAATTAAAATCTGGTCTGGTTTGCGTTCTAAAAGTTTTGGCAGTACATCAAAATAGAGAAGGCCCGTGCCAGTGATCGTTCATCGCCTGACTCGTGGAGAAAGTGTCGGTTATTTGCTCGAATTCTAACAACTGATGAGGCACAAAACTTATCTAACACATTTAAATGTGTTATACGTAAAGGAAATTGTTTCGAATTCATTCATTCGTTCATTCATTTTTATCAGAATGAAATGTATTATAAATCTTAAAAAAAAAAAAATCCCATTGAGATCTGAAACTTCTCCATCGAAAATTGTTTCATCGATAGAAAATCAGTTATCGATCTATTTCTTTTCAAAATTTTCTTTTTTCTTTTCTTTTAAATCGTCTTAAAAAAAATAAATCGTATAAAGAAAATATCCAACTATCCAAATATCGCTTGATTCTGAAAATACACCACTCATCAGTTCATTTCGCATGTTCTAAAGTATGAAGTTCACCGAATGAGCAGTCGTTGAAGCAGACAATTGACATATATCCAAAGAACGTAATGGTCCATAGTTATATTTAAAATTGGCTTTTCTTTAATCATAAATCAAACGTTAAATCGGTGCTTTGTAGAAAATACCTATCAGTGGCATTTTATATCGCAATCGTTTTATAGGAATCAAATCTTCGAAATAGAATCGTTTTCAAGGTGACTTCATTTGCAATTTCGTTTAAATAATTCAATAATTCTATCAAACTCTTTTGGCCAATCCAAATTTAATTGATCTTGTCGTTATTCCTTCGTTTATGCATGATTTATGAACGATCATATTCCTCGACATATAAATCCAATTTAATAATACAAGAACGCGATAGAAGTCACAGACAATTCCCTCTATCGAATGCGGATCCAATGAATCACGCGGTGGCGTTGACACGTTAGGCTTCATCCAGCGAAGACTTTGGCAGATAATCAAAATCGTGGATTAAGACAAATTCGTCAATGTGCCAATAGAAAGTTTGTAGCGTTGCTTTACTTCAACAGAGAAATTTCAGTAAACTCGAATTAAACGTTTCGAAATCAATTTTCAAGAGTTTCACTCTTTCTCATAGAAGCTAATGCAATGCTCTAAAAACGAGCGTAACTCGTAATTTATTTAATTCGCGTAAACAATTTATCTAACGATTAACTGAAATTAACTGAGATATAGGTGAAATTTGTTTGATTTTTTATAACGTATCTCGAGTTAAAATATCTTATCATCTTTGAATGAATTATTGTCGTGAAATCGGCCAAAATTCGACGACACGAGCGCTTTTCTCGTAAATCACCATCAACCTTGGAACGTCCAATTATTGTCTGGCTGCAAGTTCAAGTGTTATCGTAAATCCTCGTGAACAAAATGATTTCTGAACGATATTTTGCATCTGTTACAGTATAGAACGTAAAATGGTAAATTTTGGAAAAAGATTAGAAAGATGTTCTTCCTCTCTTTTCTTTTTTCTTTTTAGAAAAGAATTATAACTTTAGCTACATATAACTTAGAGATACTTTAATTAATAATTATTAATTTACAAAGAGAGACTATAGAAATGATTTTTCACTCCAGACGAAATCTTTTTTTAAACGAGTATCTATATAAATCCGTTTCAGACACCATTTTGCATGAATCATCGCTATTTCGTCCACGGCAACATTGTGGTTTTGAATATCCTGTTCGTTTTTGACCATAAATATTGTCATGGGGTTGGCAACGTTAGAAAATTAACAACCGGAACGAATCCAATTTCTGCTCTGTGGCGCGTATATTGTTACCATTCTCTCACGTTTCCATTTTATTTTATTTTATTTTATTTTATTTTTTAAAAATGTCTTCCGTCCACGATATCCTCTTCCTCCGTCATTATACCGTCATAAATTCATCCAAAATATTCATCATCTTACATCACGCGTCAAAGTCTATCATTTTTAATACTTTCCAAGAAGCAAATGTTGTTTAGATTCGGTTGGCACTTCCTGTCGAAACAATCCTCGCGTACGCTCGTTTACGTGGCGAAAATTTCGAGAGGAAGCCAATCCAACCACTCGATCACGTCGAACTCGAATCGGGCGCCGCTGAAAAATGGTAACAGGTGCCTTATTCATCTTTCGCAAATTGCATTTCTGACACCTGCACGCGGCTAATTTATCGCGCTCGATACATCACTCGTGTCGCCCGAGTATCGCGTCGAGATAAATAAACTCGTACACCCGATTTATCGCCGAGCAACATCCCATTGTTTCGAGGAATACCAAAATTTCTAACGTGTTACGAGCGAAACGGATAATCGTTTCGTTTTCCTCTTTCTTAAAATTCGCACGAAACAATATTTTCACGGCGCGTCTCGATAATTTTAGACGATCGAATCGGCCGAACGATATTTCATATCGTGGCCGAGTAAGTAGGTCGCGAGAATAGTTTCTCATGCGGTACCAGCTCGAAATGCGGCGCGATTTATATCAAATAATGACGCAATCGGTCCTAAAGAAAGAAATTGGGCCTGCGGTAGGCGTTCGTGGCAACAATCGGATCGCTTTAAATAACCCGCAACAACATTGCCCTTTTCCCTGCTTGTTTGTCAAATAAACCACTGCGAACCGGTCCCATCCCAACACTCGACTTTCTCCCCCCTTTATTTTACCTTCCCAGCGAGAGAGCAGAAATTTTTATTTTTATTTTAAAGGGAAATTAGACGTGTTTTTATGAATTTCGAATTCAATCCCGATACTCGTATCTCAAACGCTAAATGAAATTACTCTCTCAGGCCTGCCTCTAACACTTTGGCCTCCCCCTCGAATTAGGGCTCTCGAAACGGGGATTCTCCCTTCGGAGGGGATTCCCTGGTCGAGGCGGGAAAACTCAGGATGTCGCGTTAACCGTGGCGCTCGCGCCCACCCCTCGCATCTCGGCTCGCGTGCTCTAAAGATGTGTTGGAGAAGTGTAAGAAGGGTAGCTATTTCTGGTCGTGGGGAGCCGAGAGAGACTCGTCGCGCAAACGGCTCTTAGCCACTTCGTACACCGGCTAGTCTGGCGTTCGCCGCGTATCGCAATACGCTTTTCGTATCGAGGGGAAACTCTGCACGGCATGACACGCGAGCCTGGTCCGCCCAGTGAGATGGAATCGGGTTAAAGAAAATTTATCTCTTATCAACGAACGAGAAGAAGACGCGTGGACGGTGGGTGGTGGTGAACGAGTGGATGGGGCACGCGGAAACAAATTCGAATTTGAAGAGGAGATCCATTGGCATCGAGCTTCGATCGAACATTGTTATATTGAAGGAGGCGAGACTCTTCTCTGGCCGTTCGACGTATCGATGGATCCGTTTGATCCCTCAGGATGATAAATAAATAAATAAAGATTTTAGAAAAAAAGAATTTTAAAAAAATTGGTATAATATAATCTATCCACGTTTTTTCGAGATTCTTCCTCTTCTCGTTTCTCGAAGTGTACGCACCCGTCGGATCACCGTTTCTTCGTCGACGACGTCGTCTGACAACCGATATATCGGGGACGTGTGCAGTGCACCGACGTGAAAATAGATGGTGGTTAATGAGGATCGGTTGGTGAAAGTGACGAGGTGGAAATAGCGGCGGGGAAGGTAGAAATAGGTAGATGGATAAAAATCGTTTAATGGGCTTCTTCTTTGATGAAGAACGCCGGAAGAAGAACGACGCTACTCAACGATTAACGCTGTTTCGTTGATATATAGAATTATTGAAATCACGGAATAACTTGCACGATCCAACGATCCAATCGAAGACGAGCGACAACAATTATAATTTATCAAAAATTACGATCAAAAATTTTCTCCACTCGAAAAACTGTCTCATCTGGAAATCGTCTATCGGATAGAGCCAAGAATCCTTGCCTCTACCTGAGAGTTACGTGAAGGGTGGCCCCATTTTGGTGGACCCGTCCACCCCGCAAAACAAAAAAAAAAGAAAAAGAAGAAAAAGAAAAAAGAGAGATTCTTCTCTACGACGAGGAAATCACCGAATTGGCCGGCTACCAGGGGACGAGACGACGAACGAGCAGCTCCCACGGAATCCTGGTAGGCATCCCGTACGTAAAAATAAACCGTGCCTCTCCGTGTCGGCACGAGAGAGAGAGAGAGAGAGAGAGAGAGTGGGTTCGAGTTCGACGAAACATTTTTTTAACGAGCGAAAACGAAACGTCGAGAAGAGAAATTACGGTGAAAATAATAAAGATCCGATGTTTGATCGAGTTTAATCGTGTCCTTTACTTTTCTGATCGTTGTGACAACGAATCAGGAAGAAGATTGAACTGTTCGAGTGAACGAGCTCTGAGATCTCGTAACGTGGATACTCTTTGCTTTGCTCTTTATTTTAAGAAGCTCTGATCAGAAACAGAGGGGAGGGAGGAGGGGGAAAACAGAGCACATCTCGTGATTATTTCATTGGCAAGGAAATTTGGGAGAGCTTTTAAAAACGTCAAGGTGGAAATTTTTCTATCTTCTCGGTCGGGTGGTTGGAAAGAAGAGAGAGAGAGAATTCGAGTTGCATTCATGATTGACGAGAGGATTCGTTGCGAGCGAATTATGGAGTGGAGAGGACAACGTGGTGAGGGGATCTCGATTCGCTCGTCGACATTGAACGCGTTGATTGATCGCGAGATGAACGCCAAGAGGAAGCCGCGATTGAACGATCAAACGGAGGAATCCTTGGTGGACGGGATGCCAAGCTTTTAGCAGAAACGAGGTTGAAACCACGCGCGCGAAATCGACGACATCGAACCGTGTATATAAATATTCTTGAATCTTGACCAAAAAGAAAAAAAGAAAAGAGAAAGGGAGAAGCACGCGAAGAATACAAATATATAAAACTGAGGATAAATTGAACGAGGATTTTTTTCGAAGAAGCTCCACTGGGGTGGGGACGAACAATGTCGTTTTGCAGGATAACAGGGAGAAGCAGGGGACTCCCCAAACCGAACTACTTTCCCCTGTTGCCGCCTATCAGCCCGGCTGACGCGAAACGTTTCTGCCGTATAACAGGCAAATCTTACGGTCTGCCCACTCATCATTACATTCCAGTTCTGTTGGGCGTTCACGCCCACGACAAGTCGAGATGCAGGATAACGAACGCCTCCGGTTTGGGGCCCCATCGCTACACGGCCGGCTACGTTCTAGGCGAGAAGAAGAGGCACGTGGTCCTCAAGGATTATCGCTACGTGTTCCCGGTGTTGGAAGGGGAGGGGGAGCAGCAGAGAGCTCTGAGAGATTTGTTGAACACTAAACACCCCCCGCACGACGAGGAGCAATCCAAGTTCGTGTACACGGTGGAGGAGAGGAGGTGCAGCCTCGTGTTCCCGTCGAGGTTGGAGGCCGCGGTGAGGGACGGGGACGTGAAGGACGTGATGCTGTCCAGGGACTGCGACACAGTTCTGTTCAGGTTGAAGCAAGGGAAGAACGTTTCCGTTGATTTCAAGGATCTGAAGGATTTCGAGAATCTTTACGACGGATTGGGCCCGAGTCAGGAGGCGGTGAAGGAGAGGGAGAGGGCGGAGGCCGAGGCCAGGAAGATACGGAAGAGGAAACGGCAGGGTGGGTTGAGCCACGCGAGAAAGATCTTCGAGGAGAAGGAGAAGGCCGCGGAGGAGGAGGAGGAGGAGGAGGAGATGAGACGGGCGAAGCAGTTGAAACTTCGCACCGCGAGGGAAGAGGCGAAGGAGGAGGCGAGGGAGGAGACGTGGAGGCACGTGAATCTGGAACAGGCGAGGAGCAGGGCGTGCGACTTCATATCTGTGGCGAGCCCCTTGAACGGAGCCGAGAGATCCCTCCCGGAAACGTTGGACTGGAACACGTTCCGGGACAAGTCCGAGCCGCTCGTGCGGCCGATCGTCGACAAATTGCCCGACCCCGTCCAGGTGAAGCCGCGAATCGTGGCGTGCGGAGCAACGGCTTCGTGCACCAGCCCCGTCTCGGAGAGCACGGGCGGATTCGAGGCTATATCGATCGTGAAACCGCTCGCTCCGTTGAGAATAGAGCCCGACGCTGCCCTCCAGTCGGCCATACGCGACATTCCCGCCAACGATTTGACGGAGGTGGCCGAGGTGAACGCGAAACTCGCGAAAGCTGGGGAGAGGGCGTTGGAACGATTGCCCAGAGCTGAGGAGATACCAGAGGTGGTGGAGAGACTGGGGAAGGTGGGTAAGGTGGCGACGATGCACAAGATCAAAGGTTTGAAATTGGATATAAAATCGGCGCAGAGATTTATCACGGGGCAGACAGTTGAGACGCCGAACGGGCCTGTTTTCGTGCCCGGCCAAACGTTGCAAACACCTCGGGGCCCTGCGTTCGTCCCCGGCCTGACCGTGAACACTGCCGAGGGGCCGATTCTCGTCCCTGGACAGATATTGAACTCGAAGGAGGACGATGGAACGGAGACACCTGTGTTCGTAGCTGGGCAAACGTTGGCCACGGAGCTGGGTCGTAGATTCGTTCAGGGTCAAACGTTCCACACGAGCGAGGGAGGGGTGAGATTCGTTCAAGGCCAGACCGTGTTGACCGAGGATGGGCCGAAGTTCGTGGCCGGCCAAGTGGCCGACGACGGGACCTTCGTTCCCGGCCAAACGATACACACCCCAGACGGGCCCAGATTCATGCCCGGCCAAACCATAACCGATCATCGAGGGGAGCATGTGTTCGTCCCCGGCCAAAGCGTGAAGACCGGGGAGACGTGGGACTTCGTCCCTGGACAAACGATCGAGACTTGCACGGGGGAGGCGAGGTTCGTCCCTGGCCAGACGATACCAACGTGTCAGGGGCCGCAATTCGTGCCCGGACAATACGTGACCTCCGACTCAGGGGAAAGTTACTTCATGCCCGGTGTGATCAGGGAGGGCGAAGGGGGAAGGTCGGTGTTCGTTCCAGGCATGACGTTGGACACCCCGAAAGGTCAGAAGTTCGTGGAGGGTCAAGTGGTCAGGACACCGGTCGGGGAAAAATTTCTTCCAGGTAAAACGAGGATAACGGAGGACGGTATCGAGTTCGCGGCGGCGACCACGTTCGACGAGGTCGTGTTCTACGACGCTGGCCCGACCGGGATGCCCGTCGATCCGAAAACCGTGAACGTTACGATCCAACAGAGCGAGATTTTCGGCCACATGGTGCAGACAGAGAGAGGGGTGGAGTTTTACCCCGAGGCCGAGAAGAAACGGTTGCCGGAAGGGAAGAGGATCGTTCCCGGCCAATTGGTGAGAGGAGGGAAGGACGGTCCTCGATTCGTGCCAGGCGTGATGACGGACGAGGGTTTCCTACCCGGTCAAATAGTGATGACGGAGACGGGTGAACAGTTCGTGCCTGGCCAGGTGATCGACACGAGGACGGGGCCGAAATTCGTGCCCGGCCAGATGGTCGAGACGAGGACGGGGGCGAAATTCGTGCCGGGCCAAACCGTGGAGACGGGCGACGGGCCGCGCTTCGTACCCGGCCAGATCGTCGAGACGAAAGCCGGGCCCACTTTCATCCCCGGCCAGGTGATCTCCACGGACGACGAGGGGTCTAGATTCGTGCCTGGCCAAGTGGTGGACACTCCGGAGGGACCCAGGTTCGTGCCGGGCCGAGTGGTCGAGTCTGGGGAGCAGGGGGTGACCTTTGTGCCCGGTCAGATAGTCCAGACCGAGGAGGGGCCCCGTTTCGTGGCCCCAGACCTGACCGACACCCCCGAAGGTGAGGTGGAATTCTCCGTCCAGGGATTCGAGGTCACCCCCGAAGAGTTGCGACTGTTAAGGCCACGGTATCTGAATTACAATGCGGACGTGCAGCATCATGGGGAGAGTAGCATAGACGCCAGGATGCTGAGACAATTGTCCGAGGCTGGTCTGTCCGTGGGAAGAAAAGTGATCGCCGATCTGCCCGCCGTTGACGTGGACGTGGATCCAAAGGCGGTGGCTCTGGAGCAGGCTCTCGTTATGGCGGAGAAACTCGGTTTGCACGGTGTCACAGCCGTGAAAATGGCGCAGATAGCGTCGACGGTGGCCCAATTGGCGAGAAACATCGTGGTTCAGCAGGAACAACGGTCGGGGGAGAATCGCGTGGAGTCGAGGTTGGCCAACGGTGGCGAATCTTCCCCGTGTGGGAATAAGGCGAGGGACGGGGAGAGGGAGGGGAGCAGGGACGATGAAAACACGGAATGGTTGAAAGACACGGTGAGGGTAGCGTTGGCCAGCGCCATTTTGGCGATTGTCAATCGACCGGAGGAAAATGGGGACGATGCGAAGCGAAAAGATCTCGTTTACTCGTCCATCGGTGAGGCTTTCAACGTCCTTCTGCGACAGAGGAGCGGCAACAGCATCGAGGAGTCGGTGGAAGAGATACTGCGGATACTTCTCGTCCCCCAAAATCGGAGCGATCTGTGTCGATCCGCCCTTCTAGACTTGATAGACAACAAGAACAACAACAAAGTGGATATCCTGAGATCCACTTTGATCAGCCAACCTTTGAGAGAAGACGTAGTTCTCGACAGATTGTCCATGGTCCTCGAAGAGGAATACGGGAAGGATTTGATCGGGCCCGCTTTCAGGACAGTGTCGAGAAACGACCCGGAACTGGTTTCTCGAGTGCTTCGAAAGGTATCGGAGGAAGTGTCGAGCATCGTTACGGAGAGGGAAGCAGCGGAGACCGTTCACAAGGCGATCGTGCACGCGGTCAGGGAATCGAGCGAGATCCACGTTCAAGAATTGTTAAACGACAAGAACGAGGGAGAAAACGTTCGAGAGATGCTTCTTCAGGCAGTTGGGTTGGCAAGGGCTCTCGGTATGTCCAGCATCGCGAGCAGCTTGTTGGCGGTGATCAGCGACGAGAAATCGACTCGAGCGTTGGCCAGCGACAAGGTGACGTTGGACGTTCTGAAACGGTTGACCGTGATGAGGAAATTAGCCGAGGAGAGGCCACCCTTCATGAACGCCCTCACTCAATTGTGCAGCGATCCGGAATTGGCCAGGACCGATCCACGATTGAGAACTCTGGTCAGAGAGAGCGCAGCCCTGATGATAGTCCCCGAAGAAGGCCCCCTTCAATCGTCCGCCGACGTACCCTCGGTTCTCCTTCGCTCCGACAACAGCCTAGCCATGGAGGAGTTCCTCTTGAGGAGGAATCACAAACCGTCCGCCATCTTTATGATACTGAAGCAAGGTCTTCAGGCCGTGGTCCCCAGGGAAGCCTCGAGATCGGTTCTAACCGGCGAGGTAGCGTACACCGTCCTCGACGAGGATGGAATTCATCATTTCGAGCCGCTCCACGTCTTCTCCGCGCTCCAACTCGCTCGACCTACCGCGCATCGGTTTTCCATGTACTGTTGCCCCGTCGCGAGAGAAGAGGAGGTGGACGCCGAAATGTCCACGTTCACTGGCACCATCTCGATGGCCAGTAGCCTCGATGGATTTGCCGCTTACACGAAACAGGATTGTAACGGTGTCGTGTTGTCGAGGTCCGACAGATCTTTCGGGTACTCTGGCAGCAGAGAGAATACACCGAGTCTGAGGAGATTGACCAACTTCCAAGACCATAGCTTCGAGCGGGTAACGTAAAAGAAAAAAAACGATAGATAAAAATTCAGTATTGCGTAGATGTTAAATTTTAGATTCGTAGAGGGATTAAATTGATTCAAGTAACACAAGTAGGATTTCCTTGTCGGAATATAGTTGCTTGGCTTATGAATGTGTTTTCTTGCTTAAGATCGAGCGTTAACAAAAGTTAACAAAAGCCTTCCTTTTTTATCTCCTTTCGCAATAGGTTCATTTTTTTTTCTTTTTCTTTTTATTATTAACGATATTTTACAAATATCCACGAGTTCTCCACGAGAATGTAATTTCGAGTACGAAGAAACGATCGCCCGAAAGTTTACTCTTCCATCGAGAACAGATATCCTTCGTAATCCTCGAAATATCTTGCAGACCAGAAACATATCGAAAACCATCAGCGAAAACATTCGTTGCCATTTCGTAAATCCTTTGAAATTGGCCTGTTGCAGAAATCGTTGGACAATTATATCGTGGTGAAAGACTACAAGAACGAGACAGATGGATTCTCCGTGAGCATCGGCGATATAGTCGAGGCGCTTGAATATGCCGATCCAGCCAAGTAAGCAACGAAATCACAATTTTTACAATCATTTTTGTCTCGATCTGTTTTTAAAAAATCTTAATCTTTAATCTTTCGATTAAATTACCCTCACCTCATCTTTAAACAATGTATTACAACTTTCTAGACAAGTCTGATCTTTGAATCCCTTGTCGAGGAAAACGTCCTTTTTCGAATAATATCTCGAGAAAATTAGAGGAAAAAGCATTTTGATTATATTCTTCTTCTTTTTTTTTTTTTTTTTTCATTCGTCAAATTATCCTCGCGTTACAATTTTAATAAAAAAGAATCGCGAGAAGCTCGAAACTTGTTGCGAAACGAAAAACGATCCAGCCAAGTAAAAGCGTCTTCTTCGTCTTCCTTCCAGCTTCGTAAATCGCCGGAGGCCAAACAAATTTCGCGCGATCGTTCGGAACGTTGACTTCGCGTTGCGTTCGTTCGCGTTTAAAATCTATTTCCGTGTGCGCAACGTGCGCCCGGCCGAAAATAATCATCGCTGCTTGTCGTATATAGAGTTCTAACGCGTTCAAACGATGCCGATACCGTGTGCGATCTGTCACTTCGGATAAACTTCTTTGCCTCGTTCTAATTAATTAAGGAGGAAGAACCGTTTAACATAGTGGTTAAAGTTACGCTTAAGTTACGCTTGCATGTATTGGATTGGAATCACCATTGCAAGCTTTCTCTTAATCCGACTCACAACAACAGCGAGAAAACTATTGCCGATAAAAAAAGAAGCTTAAGCAAATTGACCGTAAAAATTAGTGTGCGTTAATTTTTGTTTTTGGAGAAGAAAAGAGATCGAGGAACATATTACTCTTAGCAAAATAGTAAACATACATACTGAATTGAATTTTCGAGTAAACACTGGAGAATTGCATTTGGGAAATTTTATTTTCAAAGAAAAAAGAAAATGCATCGGGCACGCGTATTATTAATAGGAACGCATTTCGAACGCAGAACACGAGGAGGTGCGCGTTCAATCTTCGTGTCAAACGGTGAAAGATCGGTGTTGGCGGACTACGAGTTGTTCCCTCTGCTTATTTTCGCGGCGATATTTTTACGCGTTTTCCCTCGTCTCTCCCTCCTCCCCCCCCCCCCCTCCCCGTGAATTTTGGTGAACAAACGCGTGACAAATGGAGAATTTCGATTATTCGACAATCGGACACGGAGGATAAAATAATCTCGAACGTGTTTGGTGGAAATGCGATCTTGAATCTAACTTTTCTTCTTTCGCGCTATAAATATCCCGAGCAAACCGAGTAACAAAGAAAAACCGCGAATGCCTGCAACGACCCTGCAACATCTCGCTTTTAACGGGACTCGCGCTAACTCGCTTCGATTAGGGAGGAGAATGATGTTTAGTCTGCATGAGGCCTCGAAATGAAATGGCGTCGATGGCGATGGATAAGAGGGGGGGCGAAAAAGAAAGGAAAGATTGGAAGATGGTTGAACCGATGTTGTAGGAAGATCAAATTGGATCCTGATCTGGAGATCGGTGACGTTGGAGAAGTATTGGACAATTCAGCCGCTTGGCACAAGTTGTCGGTACGACCGCGTCGAAAGCATGCAGATCCCCGTGCTAGAAATGTCTCGAGGTCTCCCTCGGACACCAATTTCCAGAGGTAATGTATCAGGGAACGTGCGCAGCCACGAGTCACCGGACAAATTTGGAAAAAATCGAATTGATCACAAATTAACTTTATATTTATATTTGAATTTTTGTATATCGTTCTATTAATAATATCCACTTTGATGAATAGTTAGAATAAGTTAGAAGCATGGAATATTTATTGGGGATAACTTTAACCACGAGAGGAATCAAAAAGATACGAAACGAATTGAGAAACGAAGAGGAGAAAGAGGAGAGTTTAGAAGAATTTCCCACAAAAATCGCCGGTTTGATTGGATTGGAATGAACTTCGAACGATTTCGAACGCCAAGGATGCGTCATCGCCATTCCTTAAACCATTGGTCGAAATATATATGCCGAGCAGATGCATTATTCGTTCGATAAATCACGTTTCTTCAACGGCCATTCATTGGATTCTAAGCGAAACTCGTTGCTCTCCCATTTATCGATATCCAAGCTGTGATCATAAGTCGTACATTTACAAATGACCAGCCTCTAAATCTCAACGAAAAAGTATCGAGAATTCGAGGATCAAACGGGATTGATGACAAGAAGCGTGAAACGCGTGAAAACCGGAAGTTCTCCGCAAAAGAGCGAGGGAACTAAATCCGCCTACGAAATATTCCAAAGGCAGAGCCAATGAACTCGTCGTATCTCATCTTCTAGAATTGCACGAAAATGATTACGATATGCGGCACAGGCTGCAAATTGTTTAACGTTCATTCGAGCACTTCGTTTCCTCGCCATTACTGTTGATTTAAAGTTCTTGTACCACAAAGTTAAGACCTTTAGATTTTTATTTTATTGAAATAAAAATTCTTTAAAGAAATGTTTCATAAGAATTGTGTAAATTCCTCGATGAAATGGAGAAATAATAATGGCAGAATTTTAAGGATTATAGAAAATAGAAAAATCGTCGATTTCCAAGATTGAAGAACAATAATTGCAGGATTGTTAAAATTAAAATTTTCGGTTGCAAAGCCAAAATTCTTTAAAATAAAAATTTCGCAAGCATTGCAGCTTCTCAAGAGTTCAGAGTGGATGATTAGATTAATCATCCAAAGTATTCTTGACCCATAAAATTCAAACGAGCCAATATTATTCGATGTTATTCCTGATATTATACTCAATACAGGTTAGTAAAATCGAAACCGATGTCTTGGTTCGTTCGAATCATACAAATAACGATGATTTACGACGAAGTTAACGAAGATGGAACGTTTATAAGTGTCTTGAAAAACGATAATACGTCCAAAAGGGTGACTGGCCGTCGGCCAGAATAAGTTTGAAGTCGACGTACAATGTTCTAATAAATGATCAATAGGAGAAGAAATTGTCGAATGCTTTCGATAAAAATCTGTTTAATCCGCGCTCCAAGATTTTTATGATTTCATCGAAATCATTGTCAGGTATCTACACGATGATCGTCGAGATTTTTCGAGAAAAATATATAAAAATATTATCTATTCGACGTTAAATGTCGCGACGAAATAAATCTCAATTGCATAATGCATTGAATAACGCGTGGCATGGTCTGGTTGATTCCAAGAAAGGTGAAATACCAGCCAGCTCTGAAAATAAGCTCGCGTGAAGGTGAGGTTCAAGCTGAAAATTTGATTTGCCGCTTTGGCAGACATTTCGTTCAATGGATTACGAATTATTTACTACAGTCTAACATTGTGAAAACAATTGTATTTGGTGGATTTTCTAACATTTCGATAAAATCGATGATTCAATCGAAAGCTGTAAGAAATTACTGGTGACTGATATAATTTTAATTTTTTTTTTTTGCACGAAACTTTGTATTACTTTATTGTCAAAGGAAAAAAGCATCCTCTCTATTTCGAATCGATCCTTTTATTATAAGTATTCATACGAAATAAGATAAAGATATATATCTGTGGAAAAAATTTTATTTTCTATGGATCTCCAATCTTTTTAAGCGAAGTTAAAAATAATTGTACATTGTTACCAAGTTTTCATTTTATATAGAGGGTTCGTTTGGAAATATTGCGACAAAGATGATGATTAATTAGAGAAGATTCTCTACGAATGAAAATACACCTTGTTACATTATAAAGAATAGATAGATATAGAGGTATATGTGGGCGGTGTGAAAAGTTATATTTGAATTTAGTGACTAAGACAACAGGATTCAGGATGCATATTCGTGGTTCATTCAACAAAACGCAAAATTTGTTGGCGTCTATGTCAAGGCCCTAATTCAGACCTTGAATTTCTCAGTACCATTTAAAGCGATCCAATTATATTACAAGATGAAAATATAGCGTTTCGAATCTGCGTCGAACAATTTACAACTCGCTGGAGTTTAATTAGTCCGATTTTAATAATCTCGTTCATAACCCCATTGGAGATAAAACGAAAAGAAATGAACATGAATATAAATAGAAACACTAGTAATCGAAAAATATTTTAATTAAACGCAGAAATAAATTTTTAATTATTCATAAAAATGAAATTCATTGTTGCAACTACCCCTTTCATTAAATATCCCTTTCTTCAATTGTTCCTCTTCGCTTTATATAAAGCACTTCTGCTGTGAATATACTTTAATCTAGAGTATTAAAAAAAAAAAAGAAATTTCTGTTTCAAGAAAAATATTCTTTTGCACAGGGTGTACGTTCGTACAGTCGACTCAAGGGAAGGATGGCTGCCCATGTCGATCTTGATGCAAACCGCCCTCAGCGAGGAGTCAGCGCTTGGACACCGACCGGAGGACTCGCAATATCGAAGAGAGTAAGCTATTTTTTTCTCATTTCTTCCTTCATTAAAACGTTTTTTCCTTTAATATTAATCCATCGTGCGTTAATCGTGAATCTTCGTAGGGCGGTAGTGAAAGAACTGGTCGAGACCGAGGAAGAATTTGGCAGAGACCTTCAACAGGTAGTTGAACGTTACTTAAAACCACTCGACAATCCGGATGTTCCACGAATCGTGAGGGACAACAAGGACATCATCTTCACGAATCTGAAGCAGATCGCCGATTTCCACAATACGTACGTATGCTCGCTGAACGGATTTAGAGAAGAGGAGAAATTCACTGCGACACATTTTCGCGAGATTCTTTGCGAGAAGAAAAGAGAACCCTACACGAAAATACTACTTTTTTTACATACAAAAACAAATTCTCGATTCGCGTTATAAATCAACGAGTTATTTTAGTTTAATCAACGTGTTTTATTCGAGTTGTCGTTGTCCATTCGCAAAAAGAAAATCGCAATATAAGATGATCTTCATTAGAATCGAGATGAGAAAAAGATGAAAAAAGAGAAGAAAGTACAGCGCGCACACACACATGCACACGACACACATGCTCGCCATTAAATACCACATCAAATACATTATTCTCTCTTCAGCGAAATGATGATGTGTGAGCAACAGTAAGTCCGATATTGAGGCGTACTTTGTGTGATCGTGTGTTTCGTGTTAATATCATTATATGTTTAATACAAAGCAAAAGTATCGCTTAAAAATCCTCCTATATCATCATTCTATGAGCACGCTTCGATTGACCAGTATAAATTCATTCTTCCAAAGAGAAAAAGTGGTATTTATTATATATGATGTAATTTTTAAGTGGAATACTTGATTCATAATCAGACAAAGTAAATAAGATAGACAAAGTAAAGAAGAACGATTTCGTATGATAAAAATGATCGTTTCAAATATTTAAAACGATATTTATTGCAAATGTGATTAAAATATTTTTAAGCAGAGCGTTTCGTTATTATAGATAAATTAATACGAGGAAGAATGATTTCACTGAATGATTGTCTCTGATCATTTTTAAAAAGTTTTCGATTTTTTACCCTTTTACCGCCTCAAGTAGAATATAAAATATGTTTTGATATGTTTCGTTTCCCTCGATATTAATTAATCATAATTCACGATCTCCCATTTGTTTTTTATATATAACTTCACGTGGATTAATAATCAGCATAGAATTATAATGGCGTAATAATTCATTCGAGAAATTAATGGTCGTAACTTATTTATTAAATGTTGCACCCATACATGTGTCGCGTGGAAAAGAAAAAATGAAACCACGAAGGATGCAGTCTTCAGCACGTAGGCATGGTGTGTTTTTAGCGTGAAAATTAATCGGAACCTTACTTAGATCGTTCGGCAGGGTGTTGATCGAGGGTGTTAAGTACTACGCGGATCAACCACGAATGCTTGGAAAAACTTTTCTGCGATTGGTAAGTTCGTTAAAAATTTATATCATATCTATTTCATTCACACATCATTTTCATTCAAACATATATTTTAAACAAATTATATTTGTTGTTACAGGAAAGAGACTTCGACAAACACGTGGCCTATTGCAGAGACGAACCGGCGGCCCAGGAGTTCCTCCAGATGAACGACGCGGTACGAGAATACTTTGAGGTCAGTCGTTTGATTAAATAATAATTAGAAAGAGGAAAGAAAAAAATTATCTTGATTCCTAACTCAATTTTACTAACAGAGTAAAAAATAGAGGTTCGATTTACACAGAAGAGAACCATCAGGATGGTAAGAAAGATTTCTGTCCATCCATCGTTTGTATTTGTAGTTTAGATTCTCGACACCAACGTCGATAATAAAGTGGCGGGATTGTTCCAAACACAATTTGCATATGATAATTCAACTTTGTTCTATACATAATTCTACGCATTTCAAGAATTAAACTCTACTCTCTGTTAATAAGATTATGAATATTATCAATCAGTCATTATATTTTTATTAGAACCAGTCATTATATTTTTCATTTTGCTTTTCATTTTTTATTTTTTTTCCTTTCTTTCTTTCTTTCTTTCTTTCTTTTTTTTTTTTTCCTTTTAAGATAATTATTCTTTTAAGAATTATATATATATATGTATATATATATATATATAAAAAAATGCAAATCGTGACAGAGAGTTCGAGGATTTTCCATGACTGAGAGATCCGTTTGCATGAATCGAAGGAAATTTCGCAATTACGTAACAAGCGGGGGTAAACGGGCGTCTGTCCAGCCCTCGAAATAGCTTGGTTTATTCTTAACAGACGGAACATCTTTCGCTCCTCTTACTTATGCACGATAGTCTCGCGGCAACACGCGTGCCACGAAAAGAAAAGGAAGAAAGCCGGCCGCGTTATCGGTTGACGACGTCACGATTGCTGTCATTACGCGATGACAGCAGCAAGCGTAATCATTCTTCGCAGAAAAAACGAAGCATACGATCCAAGCTGTCTCAGCTGTACCGCTTCGATCCGATGGATCTTCGAATCGTGCCTCGTTCTTCCTTCGAAATTCAAATTGGAAATGCTTCTGAATTTTTTTCTTGACGATTTCTTCTTCTTCTTCTTCTTTTTTTTTTCTCTCTCTCTTTTTAATTGCAACGAAAGCATCGATAGTTTAATCGTTAAATGGATCATCTCGCAATGGAAATTATATGTTAATGTCTATATCTTTATGCTGTAGTATATTAATGTTGAAAATGAAGATAAATGAAGGCTTTTAATCGAAATTTTAGAAAATTGGATTTTCTAAGGGATCAAGTGAATTAACAAACGATGGTAAATTTCGATGGATCGAAAGCGTAGGCGATCGAGATATATATGTATATAGAATATTTTATTATTTCAAATGACTGTTGCTCGAATTTTTCTCGTGATTCGTCTCGTTATTTCTGGAAACTTGACTCAAAAAATAACCGCGAGATATAAGTATCGTGTATTCATTTAATGAGATTAAAATTAGATCGTGCGATATATACCTTGCCGAAAACACCTCCAATTTCAAAGCGAGATGTCTTTAGATGCATTAGAACTTCTCGTAGATTACTTGTATTTACGACATCCGTACCTGTCCTCACGCGTCCTCTTCAGATTCAATTTACGTTTATTACCGTCCAAGCCGTGTCCAAGATCAGGTTTGATACGCGAGATATACAGGATACCTGTATTTTCCATTAAATTTGAGAAGTAAGAGTTATGGACGATCTAACATATTTCATTTAACGCAAGAGCACGAGTTCTTTCACCTCGTCGATAAATTTGTTTTACTTCTCTTCAATTAAAAATGAAAAAAGAAATAATAATAAAGTCTCCACTAGTAAAGTCACTATAAATTATAAAAATAAGTAGATAATACGTCATGAAATCAATTTAATCTATCAATTTTTACCAAAAGCACTTGTATATCTTTAATAATTTAAAAAAAAAAAAAAATAAATCGAACAACTTGACTAGGACTTTCTAGCGTGGACGAAAGGGACATTATGTGAAATAAGTGAGATGTTCGCACACCCACGCGAACTTTCCATTTTCTTCCTTATTTCTGAAAAGGACAGTGGATGAGGCAAAAGATATCCAAGATTCATAGAGCTTACATACGCGTTGTTTTTGTGCGTGGTCAGTCCACGAGTTCGTCCGGCGTCTAAGTATAGCCGTGGCCGTATTGGTCTCCCGACTAGTGTTTTTCGGTAACCACCGACTGTGGATCCCCCTCGAGGAAGAGAATCGGCGGAAGAGCAGAGACCCTGGGTCCAGTCTGGTGTCGATCAGTCACGGTGTCCTCTTCGAACCAACGACTCGAAACACGAACAACGGTGTTTACCCACCCTTCGCTTCCGCTAAGGTGCGCCAACCCTTCATTCTCTTTTTTCCAAGTGCAAGTTGTATCGTTTCATTTGGATCGTAAATATGATTTGGCATCTCTGAATATATTGGAATTTCATTTATAGGCCAATTCCTATGCCTAGATTATTCTATCTTTATTGTGTCTTCAATGTTTTCGCTTTTATTATTGATTTCTGTGAAAATTAATTTGACAATTTTTATTCGTTTAATATGATATGATATCGGTTGGTGACAGTGAATAGTAGAATTGTGACGGATGATACGAATCTTAGGAGGCACGTAAGTTGAAGAGTATCGTTCGATGAGTAAAGAGTCGAGAGAGTTGATTAATGAATTAACAATTAAAAATTTCTTCGTGTTTTATACGGATGAATATTCGTTCCCTTATATGTCGTGACAATTCACGGTATCAGATTAAATTAATAGAATAGGGAAATAGTTGCGTGGAACATCCAATCGTATCCAAAAATACGCGTCTCTTCATCCTGGTGTCAAATTACGACGTCGAAACAATTCGCTATTCTATTGTAGGAAATTCCAGTAGCCAAATTTCAGTTGGCTTTCTATTTCCACTCCTTCCTCCAAGAAAATATATATCTCTGCATCTAAACCGAATTCTAATTCTCTAAAACCATTTATTATTTAAAATAACAAACGCGAGAAATAATTTTATCTCCCATTCGCGTAAACAATTTTTATAACGACGTAGGAGAAAAAATTCCTTTTCCTTTTTCTTTTCCTTTCTTCTTCTTCTTCTTTTTTTTTTTTTTTTTTTTTTTTTAAATTAATTCAACGAAAAATTCGTTACAGGAACTGAGCCAGACTCTTCGTGACGACAAAAGCCTATCGGAACACTTGAAGCTTCCGATACAACGCATAAACGACTACCAGCTCCTGCTCAAGGTAATACTCGTCTCTTTTCGAGTTCTTTGCGAAATCTCACGGTCGATCGTGGAAAATTGTTAATGCAGTGCCGCGAATCCAGATCGAAAATACATTTCAAGGGTGTTATGACAGAAATACAACGTGGCGTATCTTTTGAAAGCATTCCAGCACGACGGTTGTTCACGAACCACCCGCATCGCTAATTTTCGTGTTAAGTTGCCGCTGAAATTTAATAGGGCGTCGAATGCATACCACGATATCGTTTTAAATCCACTCGCACAATGATATATATATATATATATATATATATGTAAAATAATAATAACAATTGATGAGAATTGACAAACTCTCTCTGTAAAGTTTCAGTAATAATATTACTCGAATTGTGCAAGAGATCTCTTTGACAAACGATTGAACAACGAAAATCAAAAGCCAAAAGAATTCAGAATTGTCATCCTCTATTTTCCTCGTTCTGTTGTAACAATAGAGTAGAAAGTGAATCATTGAATTCCTAACGTCACGTGTAGCGAGATTTCTCTTCCGTTATTTTCTCTATTGTTTTCCTTCGTTTTCATCCAAAAATTTATTTTATCTTTCTCCTTAAAAAAAAATAATTCACTTAAAAAATATTTTTCGTGTTTGAGAAGGGAAGGAAAAAATTTGTCGCCAATGGCGTGACCCGTACAACGCGCACGTGACCTATATCCGTGCCGAAATTTCATTCTATTCCGTTAAAATTAGCTCGGCGCCAGAATACTTCCCGGTTCACCTTGAAAAAACGAATTCCCCGCGATTAATTATCGCCATCCTCGAAATTTCGTCGTAAGCTCGTAAACGGAAGGGCTCGTCAACAAAATAAAATGGAAGTGGATGACCCAACCGGCCATGTTCGCTATATTCGAGAACCGAGGGGATTGCGAGAGGAATGATGGCGAAAGAAATAGATTGCACGTGATCGATAACGATCGTTGTTATTGCTCGGTGGTACATATGATCTTATGCTTTCTTACCTGTAAACCTTTGGCTTAGGCACAAAATCAGTCTGGGCCGGTTGCCCGGAACATAAAGATGACGAGAGGTGCTGAAACTTATTAGCATAAACTTGCATCGGTACGATCGTACTCTTTTCAAAATTCGTTCGAATTCGATTTCGAAATTTTTACCTTTATTAAAGAAAGATGGAATCGAGGAAAGAAAGGTTGCGATAAAGAAAAAAAGTTTTATCAAAAAATGTTTCGAGAATATCTCGATTTTTCGCGATCTTTTCGATCGACTTGAATGGCATCGTTTTACTTCCATGATACATAAGAGTGGAGATATAGATCAAGGGAAGATACAAAGTTCGTCGTGGTGTGGTTGCAATGCCGCAGAATTTCGTCGTAGTGTGTGGAAACGAGTGGGCGCCGTTACAGATTTAGCGAGCTAAAAACGGGTCATCTTCGCGACGCGTTATCTTCCCCGTCCCCTCCCTGTCATAGAAAAACTGCATGTGAAATTTATCGAACGAAAAAAGGGGGAGGGGGGAAATTGTATCCATTCGTTCAAATATACGAAATATTTTCGAAGCTGTAAAATTTTGCTGTAATTTTTGAAAAAAATTTAAAAAAAAGGAAATGAAAAATTTGAGAAAATTCGTTCGTCTACGAAATCGAAAAAGCTTTGTATAAATTTTTCTGGATATATAAAATTGTTCATCTTCGAGTATTACAATTCGAAGCTACAAAAAAAAATATTTTGCGAATTAAAATTTTGATTGAATGAAAACTTCGAACAAACGTTTCAATGATATTTTTTTTTTTTTTTCTATCATTGTGTAGGAGCTGGTGAAGTATTCGACCCGACTAGGCGAAAACTGCGACGACCTCCAAAAGGCTTTGGAGTTGATGCTAGGTATACCCCATAGAGCGACGGATAATAAATTCATAAGTAATATCGAAGGGTATAAAGGAAATATCCACAAGCTTGGCAGATTGCTCACGCACGTCAGTATATTTGGATTCAATCAATCAATCGTGATTACGTTTTAAACACTTGTATATATGTGTATATACGTAAACGTATGTTCAGGAGTGGTATACCGTGATTGACAAGGACGGTAAAAGCAAGGAAAGATATCTGTTCCTCTTCAAAGCTCGCATACTTGTCTGTAAAGTCAGACGGATATCGGAAGACAGATCTGTCTTCGTCCTAAAAGACATTATTCGAGTGAGTGAATGCTTCTGTTTTACTTTTTTGTTGTATTTTTCCTTTTTTTTTTTTTTTTNCCGACTTACTGACACCCTGACACATTATCTATTAATATACATAATCTATTAATATACATAATATACATAATCTATTATCAAAAAAATACGATTTTATTATGAATCTAATGTCTCCAATTTCAGCTGCCAGAAGTGGAGGTGAAAGACCATCCGAGAGACATATTTTTTGTAATCAAAAATTCTATTATACCATCCTATAAAAGATTTTTTCACCACCCTTTACATTTAAATATTCTTTACCGACTTCCTGACACCCTGACACATTATCTATTAATTATCAAAAAAACACGATTTTGCTATGAATCTAATATCTCCAATTTCAGCTGCCAGAGGTGGAGGTGAAAGACCATCCGGGAGACATACGCTCTTTCGAACTACACAATCCAGCTAGCCCCGCTTATCCGATCACTCTAGTAGCTCATAAAGATCCCGTGAAGGCCTATTGGCTTAGAGAGATTCGACAGTACGCGAGCGACGTGGTAGCTTTAGCCGAGCACGCCGCGGACGACTTACAATTGACGGAAGTACCAGAAACCAAGGAAGAAAAAGTTAACCCTCAAAAGGTAGCCGCGAATCCAGGAAATCCGGGGCAGAAAGAGAATCCAGGGGAAGAGAAAGCTCGTGGTAATCCGGAAGAAAAGACGGCGGAGAAGAGGAAGGACAATCCGGGTCATAATCCAGAGTCCAAACAAGCGAAGGTTGAAGAAGAAGGTGCAGACATGTCGCGAAGATATTCCGCCAGTCGATTCAGCAGCTCTTCGAAAGTTGTCGAAGGTATGAGAAAATATAGAAGAATGGTGATCACGTTGATTTTAATTTAAATAACGAAATGTCTGGTTTCTATTTATCGTGTGTTTATTGATAATCTCTTTGCATTCTTTTTTTTTCTGAAGAATATTCTTCAGTGTCCAGCAGCCAGATTGGCACGTCTACCTACATGGAGTCGTCGAGCAGCGCGGTGAAGATGGAAGCAAGTTCTTACCAAGCTGGAAATTCGATAGAAACCAGGACGAGCACAGCAAAGATCGAGGGTGGTGGTGGAATAGGGAAACCAGTGTTCGTCAAGACTCTCGTGGGATCCAGCGTTGAACGTAAGTGGTTGAATTTAGAAGATAGGTAAATGTGGATAATAGATGAATAAAGATTAATTTGATAGCCAATAAAGAAAATCGTATCGAAGAAATGAAGAAAATCTGATCTTTTTGATTTTTGAGAGATATCTGTTGAATCTGTGATTCATAGATAATTTCGCCAATGGCTTTGTTAAGTAAAGTAAAACAAAGTTTTCTCAAAGATTAGGTGACATAAGATTCATTTTTACTGTTCTAGCGATACCAGAAAATAACGTGGAATTGATACACGCCGTAGGTAAAGTGACACTTTCAGGATTTGTCTACTTTCTGATCACTCGCTGTACTGCATATTTTTTTTTTTTCTGTCAATCTTCTGTCATATAGTATTGTTAAGAATATTTCTATCGATCTATTTCTTATATTTTTTCTTCTCTAGCCAGCTAAGTAAAATCGCTTTTAAAATCGTTCCACTAGGCCATTGGTCAAGCTTTAATATTAATCCTAGGTGTTTATACGAAAACACATCACGTACTCACACATATGCTCACTTTACACAATCATACTTATTTTAATTATCGATATTCTGTATATTATTTTGCACACTCGACAATTTAACACAGTCTGCTTCAGTGTCGTCAATATTTTTTCAAATAGCTTCTTTGATGATTGACGCTATTCTTCTTTTTAGTATACTCTTTTACTAGTTGTACCACTTTAGAAGATTAGAAAAAGCACTTTTCACATACAGCATGCTTTTCATCATCCATAAAATATAAATACCAAATTCTCGAATATACCTTTAATATACTTCAATTTTGATCGTTACAAATTATAGTACATTTGAACATATCCTCTCCCCTTTATTCTTAAATATGAACATATAAATATTTCAGTTTTAGACATTGTTATATCCATTGGAAATATTTCTCTTGTATATAGTATCAAGTACTTTTAACTGTACCACATTACAACAGCAACAACTACTTCAGTTTTAGACGCTGTTACATCCCCTGGAATTGCCTTTCTGGAATTCTCTTGTAGAATATTTTTGATCGTATATCACACTGTAGATCAAATACTCTTGTATATTTCATACAAATTCTTGAACTTAGATATACAGTGATAATAATTGACGTTTCTATTCACATTCGTACATTTTTGTGCTAATTTCATTCGTTCCTCCTTTACATAGCTGGAGAAATGGCTGTGTTCGAGTGTACACTATTGTACACCGATTCAACAACAAGAGTGCAATGGTTAAAGGACAATAAACCGTTGGAAGACAGATTGGCAGATCGTCTAACAGCCTCTGCGACCGGGAAAACGTTCAGACTTACGCTTCAGAACGTGCTCGAATCGGATTCTGGCATCTACATCGCTAGAGCAATGAACAGCGAGGGCCAATCTACTTGCACTGCTCAACTCATTGTGCAACAACGTGAGTCTATTGAATTTGCACGCGTCGAATCAAGTTATATCGAATTGATCGTTCGTTTCTCCTCTTCTTCTTATCTAGTTACTCCTGAGGAGAAGAAAGCAAGAGCGGAAGCCAACGCGCCAATCTTCTTGGTACGCTTGAAGGACACAGAACTCATGGAGAACACTTATCTACGTTTCATGGTGAAAGTGAAAGGAGATCCTAATCCTGAGATGAAATTGTTAGTTATCATATAAAACACGTTTTTTTTTTTTTCTTGTTACACTCTCTACTTCAGAAAAATATGTACTTTTTAATTCTCTTCGACGCAGCTACAAAGACAACGTTTTGATCGATTCGAACCATCCACGAGTGAAGATCGTCACGGAGCAAGGTGACAAAGGCTTCTACGAATTGATATTGGAGGACGTACAAAAGCAAGACGCTGGAAAATATTCGTGCACCGCGAAAAATAAATTTGGAGAAGCTTCTTGCGAGGCATCCGTGACGGTGTCAGATGAGAAAATGTTATACCTTCCTGAAGACTTCCTCGAACCGGGGATGGAGCCTCGATTCACTTGGCTGCGCGATGGAAAACCATTCGATCCTGAAGAACGTTTCAAAGTATTGTTCAAGGATAACGAGGATACCCTAGCTCTGGTGTTCCAACACGTCAAACCTGAGGATGCCGGTCTCTATACTTGTGTCGCCCAAACGAGTACAGGTAATTAATTAACCAATAATAATCTTAAATACCGATGTCATAGCCTTCAAGAGTTTCAAATGATTTTAAGTATCGATCAATATCACAATCTCAAAACTGATAAGAAGATTGAAATCGTAGGTAACATCAGCTGCAGCGCTGAACTGACAGTTCAGGGAGCAGTGAATCAACTGTTGAAAGATCCAGAGAGGCCGAAATTGTGTTCAGAAGCAAAGCATTCGGAGGTGAGCGCGGGTGGATCAGCCATGTTGGAACTGCAAATCAGGGGTTATCCAAAACCGGATATCAAGTGGACGAAAGACGGGCAGGAGATAGTGGCTGGTGGAAAGTACAAGTATCTGTGGGAGGACGAGGAGTCCATGTCATTGGTGATAAAGAACGTAACCGCCAAGGATGCAGGCGTTTACACAATCAAAGCGAAGAACGAGTTGGGCGAGGATACGACGCAGATCGAATTGATCGTGAAATCAGCTCCGAAGATCACGAAGAAACAAACCGACACGACTTGTATAATCAACGAAACGTTGACGATGACTGTGGAGATAGAAGCCACCCCCGCGCCGGAAGTTAAATGGTACAAGGACGGGCAAGAAATCAAGGAAAATGATCGAATAAGCATCGAGAAGGAGGGGAACGAAACTTACAAACTGACAATAAAGAACGCTCGGCTGGACGACACTGGTTCTTACTCGATCGTTGCGCGAAACGAAGTAAATCAAACGACAGAAATATGGAAATTGAAAGTGTTGAGCCCACCCAAGATCAAAAAGGGATTGGGCGAGCCGATTATAATAGATCAAGGTGGTAATCTCGTGTTGATGGTAGAGGTAGATTCCGTGATGCCGCCTAGCATCAAATGGTACAGGGATGGAGAAGCGGTCGTCGAGGATAATCATATAAAGATGACGAAAGAGGGTAATAGGTTCGTTCTAAGGATCGTTAATACGGTGAGCGAGGATGCGGGATTTTACAAAGCGGAAATCAGCTCCGATCACGGAGTCGTCACCGATGAAACCAGAATTCGGGTAATAGGAATATATACATATATATATATATATATATATTATTTGGAAATGATATTTTTTATATATGATCGTTTCGCGTGCAATTTTCTCTTATTTTATAATTCTCTTATTTTCTCTCTTATGCCAGGTGAAAGGTATCCCGCGATTCAAAACGAAGATGTACGACGTCACGGTGAACGAAGGAACGAAAGACATCGAGTTCAAGGTAGAGATCGATGGGTGTCCTCAACCGAGCATTCACTGGTACATAGACGACGTAGAGATCACGGAGAAGCGAAAAGAATTTGTTCGAAAGGAGGAAGAGGAGTCTTGCACGTTGATCATTTCCGAAGCTAAGACCGAGTTGAAAGGGAAGTACACGTGCAAGTTGAAGAACGAATTCGGCGAGGTGAAGAGCAGTTCCACGTTGGTCGTGAACAGCAGGCCGAGATTATTGAAAAAGTTGGCCGACCAAAGGATAAAAGAGGGCGACACGTTGAAATTGATCTTCGAGGTAGCCGGTACCCCGGATCCTCAAGTGAAGTGGTACAAGGACGGGCAGGAAGTATCGGCGGACGCGAGGATAAAAATAACTAGGGACAGCAAACGTCAAGAGAACTACGACCTTACCGTGACTCTGGTTAAAGGTTCAGACGCGGGTATCTACGAGGTTCGGGCGGAGAACGAGCTGGGCTTCGTCACCAGCAAGAGCAAAGTGTTAATAATGAGTAAGTGATCCGATCAATTTTTCATATAAAATATAAAAACGGGTATTTCGTAAGATTGCTGGGCTGCTCCATCGTTATTATTCTTCTTCGGTAAGAAGAAAAATAAGGGGATGATGATGAATCTTATTGATGATAGAATTTTCCAGAATTTAAAGGAATCGATGGAGCAGTTAAGCAAATGTCTAAAACGTGCCCGAAAAAAATACTTAATTTTTGATAAACTCGCCAGCGATAATCGTCGTCGATTTACGATTCCATTCTAATCAACGTTCAGTAAGTACTGAAAAAAGTGAAAGATACGATTTCATGTTCGATTTGTTGTTCATCGTTTACCTTTGTTTCGCTCAAAGATTCACGGACAATCGTTTAACGCCGTCACGTGTGACTCTTTTTCGAGAGTACATTTTTTTGGAGATTAATTTACGAGCATAATCTTTAAAAAAGAAAAAAAAAAATCGCGTCACAGACATTGACGCGTGAACTTTTCTCCCCCCTGTTGCCTTTGTTACTTGTATATTCTCATACTCGTCTTTCTCGTGTCTTTTCTCATCTTTATCTCGATGGAAAAATAAAAAAAGACATATTTCTTTCAACGACATATTTTGTACGTGCAATTGTCACTTCTCATGTGTTGATTATAATCCCCTTTCACATGTTCCATCTACGTTCTAAAATGTGTTCGAAAAATGTGTGAATTCCTTAGCGAAAACGGAAGAAAGCGTGGAGGAAAAGATGGAGATGACGAAGGAGACCATCGAGAAGATCAGTATCGATGAAGAGGAAACGAATTTGCAGAAAATCGAGGAGAAGGAGATCGAAACGAAGAAGGAATACGCGGAGGAATCCGGACCGGAAGGTAATCCAACGATCCACAGAACGATGGAGAACTAATCGTATATATAACGCTACGTAGCAACGAGAGAATATGGGTTATACGTATGGAAGAGAAAGAAAGATTTATTTAGTTAATAACGCTAAAACGCTTGAAAGCTCTCTAAATATCCGTGTTCTGCGATCGTCGAGATGTCGCGATGTCGCAAGATTTTGGTAAGATTTTTGAAACGATTTCGAGCGAACGATTTTTTTTTACCGCTCTTTTTTCCTTTTTGGAGCGTAGAAAAGTAAAAAAAAAAACAAAAAAAAAAACAAAAAAATTTGAAGGATTTTGTGTTTGAGCATAAACATTTTCAAACGCAAGCAAGCTTCACTATTTATTTTTCTTATCATCGAACTTATCGTAATAAAATTTTTATCTTTTTTTTTTTCTTTTTTTGTAATTCGCATCGAAATCCTTGCGATATAAATGTAAATGCTTAACATTTTAACGCTACGTAGTGATCACATATGGCAAGATATTAGAATATGACACGAATAGCCTTGCCTCGTTGGCTAACTATAATTATGCAATGGCTGAGTTAATCAGTAGACGTAGAAATCGTAGCCCAAAAACACATATCTGATAAATTCAGGTCGAGTGAGACTGGAGAAACAAAACGTCCAAGTAATGCGTGGCCAGGGTGACACGATCACGATCTCCGTGGCCTCAACGACGACCCACGAAGCTATACTCTCAGGTAAATTTCACGCACGCTGAACAACGGTCTCGCTAATTGCATCTATCGCATAATCATTCGTCGTGAACGGAAATTTTGTGACTGAAATTAATTCGCCCGACTCTTTCGTCTCCTTTCGATGATACGAAGATACGATCGAACGGCGCAAGATTCGATAATTTTCCAATTTTTCGCTTCACTTCAAAAAAGAAAAAGGAAAAAAATTTCTCCGAAGCGCTATCACTATCCAGATCAACTTTCCAAACGTCAGTCGCAAAATCCGCGAGCACGAGAGCAAATGACGCCACACCGGGCAGAGCCTTTCACGAGCCTTTCACGAGCCTCGTCGAAAAGCAACTGTACGCTTTCTCGAGTGGCTAGAAAGAATGAAATGAAATGATCTTCGAACAGAGGAGAAATAGAAACTCGGTTGGTCGAATAGGTAAAAAGTACGAATAGTGAAAAAGCTATTGTGACGACAGCACAAGCGTTCGCAGGTCCCGACGAGAGCCACACGATCAGCAAGATGACCGCGACAAAGGTCGAGTGCCAGGAGTTGAACACGGACGGACCAGGCGTCGAGGAGATCGCCACCTACAGCTACAGCGTCCAAGAGGAGAGCGTGCAGAAACCGCAGAACGGTGTCCTGATCGAGGAATTCTCGGAGGGCAGCGAACAGGATAACAGATCGAGGCTTCGCGCTAATCGTGGAGTGTCGATCGTCTCCGTATCGGACGACGAGTCGACCCTGAAGGCGATTTCGAGGGATATCAGCGCCGAGGACGTGCACCACGCTGAATCGCCCGAGGATCTCAAGTTCGTGAACGGATCTTACGAGGAGTTAAACGGGTCTCTGATCGAGGATAAGGTATCGGACAAACCGTACAGAGCTTCCTTGATCACCGAGACAATCGCCGAAGAGCGATCTATGGAAGAATCGATGAAATCGAATCTTCGACAAAATGGCGATGCTTCGAAGAGAAAGTCATCGCGGCAGATGTCCCCTACGATCGAAGACGTCAAGTTGACTAAGCGAAAGATCGAACGGGTGAATTCGATCTCGACGGCGGAGAAGGTTGTCGAGATAAGCTTGGAGGAACGTCGTTCCTCCGTGCAAAATGGTATCTCGAGGCAGAGCTCGAGAATAGAGAGGACGGACTCGGTTGAGTCGAGGAAGATATTGGGGAAATCCGTGTCGAGGGAAACCGAGTCGAAAGCTGGCGAGGAGGAGGAGGAGGAGGAGGTCGACGAAGAGCTCGAGGCTCTTCTAGATCGCGTCAAACGACAGCGCAGCGTTCTGGACGATATCCTTGAGAAGGAGCAGTCCAGGGATAATATCCTTGGAAAGGGACAACCGTCCAAAACTGATTTCCTTGAAAAGGAATCATCCAAAGCTGATATCCTTGAAAAGGAATCACCCGAGGGATCAGGTACGATTCGACGATCGCTCCATCGACTGCAAAGAACGAATCTTCTGTTCTTGCAGGGTCTAGGATCGATGATTATTCGCACGGTTCTTTGACGAACGATTTTTTTTCTCGCTTCGAGAAATCATTGCAAGCATGACTCTCTGCGTTCTTTGTTTGTCTGTGCTCGTAATCAATTTCATATTTCATGCTAATCGTATCGTATCATCGTTTACGTTGCTTCTGCCTTAACACGAGGCGCGTAACAAAGTTTAATAAGTTCTCGAGAATCATATCTCTTTGTTATTTTGAATTTATCGAATTATCAATTGCAATTGAAATTGCAAAGAGGTGGTAAATTAAATTTTGTTATAGCTTCAAATCCAAAAACCTGTAACGCTTATAATGTGTAAAAATGATCAGTCGAAATCTGACCAGAGCGATCTTCTTCGTTTTTATCGAGGTAAGCCGACGATTTCGAAAATGCTGGACAACAACGAAAAATCAAAAAAAAAAGATATGTATAGCAAAAATGTGTCAAAGATAGAAAAAAAATTGTCCAGCATTTGAAATAAAGTTAACTTAAATAAAATAACAAAGCAGCACCGCGTGGCAAGCGCAACGATGCACGGCAAAGAGAAACGAACCTTTAGATCACTCCGCACAATTTAGCATTCTCTTCTCTTCTTAGTTCTCGGAAGCGATTTTTCTGATCGATCTTCGTATCTCTTTTCGATTAGCGCCACCTCACATCATCAAGACGACTCTCGCCGATAAAACGGTCTACGAAACCCAGACGATCGTGTTCGATGTCGAGGCAACGAGTTTGCCGAGGGCGGACGCCAAGTGGTTCAAAGATGGGAAGCCTCTTCGAAGCGGAGAACGCGTGAGAATCGAAAGCAGCGGGGAGCGTTTCAGAATGGAGTTGAGTAAGATAATAGTCGAGGATGAAGGCGTGTACACGTGCTCGTTCTCGAACAAACTTGGGGAAGATATGACCGAGGGATATTTGACCGTTCACACCGTGGATGAGCTTCGAAGGCCCAAGTTCATCGAGACTTTGCAAGACGTGGATGTGGCCAATGGGAAATCTGGAATGTTCAAGGCTATGTTCACTGCCGATCCTATCCCTGACATTACATGGTACGCTCAATCGTTTTTTTATTTTTGTAGATAGAATTATATTTTTCTGAAAAAAAAAGAAAAGAGAAAAATTGATGAGGATCGATTGTGATGCACGTGTGTATTTTATCCTTACCTTTTTTTTACCATTATTGCCTTGAATCTTGGGAATTTTGGGTATGTTATAATTAAATTATGGATACTACAGAATGCACGAAATATTCAAATATATAATCTACTTGTAAAAGTTAAAAGGTATTTTTTAAAATCATGTAAATCGTGTGAAAAGGTACTTCAAGGGTAATGAAATCCACTCGGAAGATAGCCGTCTGAAGATCACCATAAATAACAAGCCAGGATCGGACAAACTTACCGAAACGACAGTCACTTTGAGCGTGCCGAAATGCTCGAAAGATGATACTGGAGAATACACGCTGAAACTGAAGAACAAATATGGCGAAGCTGAGTCTAACGTTAGTTATCAATTTTTATATAGGATATTAATTATTTAAACCAAAAAAAAGAAAAAAAAAAAGAAAAAAGAAAAAAGAAATGTAAAAACATTTATACGTATACCAGGCTTTCTTGAACCTTCTACTATGTCCCGAAATCCAAGAATTGAACGACGTTACCACGAACGTTGGAGAGTCACTCGCATGGCAGGCCATCATCAAAGGCAACCCAAAGCCGGATATCACGTGGAGCAAGGATGGCAAAGTCCTGGAAAAAGGAGAGAGATACGATTTCGAGGAAGATAAGAGGAACAACAAATTTACACTCGTCATCAAAGAAGTGGAAATCGACGACAAAGGAACATATCAAATTGCGGCTAAGAATTACTTAGGCGAAGCTAGCGCGCAGGCAATCCTGACTCCATACAGTAAGTTCTTCTGCAAGTTTCTTACCTACGATTCTCTCCACCATGGACGTTGCTACGTTATCACAATTTATATTTGATTGAATTTTAAGGTGAGACGCCAATCTTCTCCGAGAATCTGCCTAAAAGACCCGTGGAATGCAAAGATCGCAGCGATATAGAGTTCAAGGTTCGTTGCAGCGGTATTCCCAGGCCAAACTTGAAATGGTTAAGATGTAACCAGGAGATAAAAGAGGAGGATCGATACAGAATCGTTACTCAGGAGGACGGTAATAACGTGGACAGCGTTTGTTCCATAACCAAGTTCTGTCCAAACGACGTTGGAAAAATTACGTGTCGAGCCACCAACATTTACGGAAGCGCCCAAACCTATTGCGATCTTCTTATACAATTGGTCACGCCATCTTTCGTCCACCTTCTGCCCAAATCGGCCGAGGTGAACGAAGGTGGTTGCTTGGAGCTGAAGGCGAAGATCGATGGCAGCCCCCTGCCCGAAATATCTTGGTACAAGGACGGGGAAAAGATCGTTCCCGACGAGCACACGAAGATCGAAACATTTCCCGACGGCACCATCAAATTGGCCATCGATTGCGTGAAACCGCTTGATTGTGGCGCTTACAAGCTTGTGATCAGCAATTCTACCGGTGAACACAGCTCTTTGTGCGCAGTGGCCATTAAACGTAAGCGCCACGATTCATTCGTATCCGAAAAATACGATTAAATTCAATTTACTTGGGTTTCACTCTCGGTCGAGGTTACTTTCCTTATGTGAAATATCGTTTCAGCTGAAAGGAGGAAACCATCTTTCTCGAAACCATTGGAGGACGTGAAGGTCGTGGTGGGACAGCCGTTGAAATTGGAGGCCCAAGTGGTTGCCTTCCCGAATCCAGAGGTTCAATGGTTCAAAAACGGTATACCGCTGCGACAGACCAAGGAGATGTACTTCATAAACGAGCCGATCGGAATGATCGGTTTGAGGATCGATTCTTGCCGGCCGGAAGACGCTGGCACGTACTCGATGACCGTTTCCAATTCGCTCGGGGAAACAACGGGCACGGCTAAAGTCGAAGTCGAGGAGAAGGAGACACGGCCTGAATTCGTGGTTAACCTTCAACCGTTGTCCGTGATGGAGGGTTTCCCAGCCAAGATGGAAGTGAAAGTTTTAGGAAAACCGACCCCGCGGCTTCAATGGTTCAAGAATGGCGAAGAGGTCCGTTTAACAATTTCTTTGAATAATAACTCTCCGTTATTTCCTAATATGAAATGAAATATTTCCATATCGTTCTTCCTTGCAGATCGTACCCGACGGAAAGCGTGTAAAGGCCGTCACCATGCCGGACGGGACTCAAGCGTTGATCATCGACAAAGCGACGCCGGAAGACGCGGGAGAGTACCAAGTGATAGCTGGCAACACGGAAGGCACTTCCTCGTGCAAAGGAACGATCAACGTGGTTGGAAAGCTTCAATCCGACCTCTCGGAACAGAAACCGGGATTCGTGAATCCGATGAGGGACGTCTACGTGGAGGAAGGTCAACCATTGAACTTGTCCGTGTCGTTCATCGGCAACCCTATCCCGGACGTGAGCTGGTCCAAGGATGGCGCCCCCCTGCAGCCATCCGATCGCCTTACCATCACTTGCGACGGAAAGAAAACGGAACTGGAGATCAATCCTTGCGAATCCAAGGACGTCGGGGTGTACGAGTGCCGCATATCGAATCCGCTTGGCGAAGATTCCACGAGATCGACGGCTAACGTCAGAAGGATCTTCCAACCGCCGAGTTTCATACACCCGTTCAAAGATCTTCAACAGTTGCCTACGTTCGACGCCAAGTTCCTTGCTCGAGTGTCCGGTGTTCCACGGCCGGATATCACGTGGTACTTCAACGAGAAACCGATAGAACAGGATGACGACAAGTACAAGATCAAGCGTGACGGAGATGCTTGCTGCCTGTACGTGAAAGATTGCACGTACGATGATTCAGGATTGTACAAGTGCAGAGCGGTGAACAAAGGTGGAGAGGCCGAGTGCGCGGCCAATTTGACGATAGTCGATGAAATGTAAATGTTGACCTTCGAAATGTTCGAAAGAAAAGAACGCGTTATCGACTCGTTTGTTGCCTCGAATTAATTTCCTGTTTAATTTGCTTTGCAGCGGAAAGATACAGAAGTTCGAGCCACCGTCCTTCTTGAAGAGGATCGGCGACTGTGAGATGTACAAAGGGATGCCGGCTAAATTCACGGCCTGCGTCACGGGCATCCCAGAACCTAATTTCGAATGGTTCCACAACGGCGACAAAATGTGGCAGACCGACAGGATCAGGATGGATAAGGAGGGCAGCCTGTTGCGATTAACTATAAACAACGTGGACGAATTGGACGGGGGAAAATATACGTTGAAGATATCAAATCGTCACGGTGAAGATTCCTGCACGGCCGACTTAATTTACGAAAGTGAGAAAATATTTAAAATTTTTTTTTTAATATCGTAACATCGACTTAATAAAATCCTTCGTTCGATTCAAGCATTGGAGCCACGCGCGAAGAAATCTCTTGGAGACCAATACGCGGACTTCGACAAATATCGTAAATCCGGGATTCCGTTGCCGTTGGCCGACCGTCCCATCATCAGCAGAATGATGGATCGCCATCTCACGCTCTCCTGGAAACCATCCATCCCCATAGGGTCCCGTATCCCGGTCACGTATCAAATAGAGATGTGCGAACTTCCGGATGGCGATTGGTTCACCGCTCGTACAGGGATCCGTAGCTGCGTCTGCGACATCCGCAACCTGGAACCGTTCAGGGATTACAAGTTCCGTATACGTGTGGAGAACAAATACGGGATCAGCGATCCGTCGCCGTACGCGCAAACGTATCGAGCGAAATTGGAACCTGATCCGCCAAAATTCTTCCCCTACCTGCCCCCAGGAATCGATTTCCGCCCCGAAACGAGCCCCTACTTCCCCAAGGATTTCGACATCGAGAGGCCGCCCCACGACAATTACGCCCAGGCGCCAAGATTCCTTCGCCAGGAGTACGACACCCAATACGGGGTTAAGAATCACAATTGTAACCTGTTCTGGTTCGTTTATGGCTACCCGAAGCCAAAGATGACGTATTACTTCAACGACCAACCGATAGAGTCAGGTGGAAGATACGATCAGAGCTACACGAGGAACGGGCAAGCCACTTTGTTCATCAACAGGATGCTGGAAAGGGACGAGGGACTGTACGAGGCGGTCGCGAGCAACGAGCATGGGGAGGCCAGGCAGAGAGTTTGTCTACGGATCGCCGAGTATCCCACGTTCATCCACAGGCCCGAGGAGACCATAGTGATGATCAGGAAAATTGGCCAATTGATGGCACGTGTCACCGGCGTGCCTTATCCGGAGATCAAGTGGTACAAGGATTGGAAACCTCTTACCACCTCTTCTAGGATAAGGGTTTGTTTATTATCTTGCTTTGTTATCACGTTTGAAAAGAAAAGGAAAAGGAATCTGGATAAATCGGTTATTTAATAAATTTAATAAATTTAATCGTGGTTTCTCCCCAGATCGAGTTTAAGGAGCCGGATACCTCGCTTCTGATCATCAGCGACACCATAGTGAAGGACGAGGGGTTGTACTCGGTAAGCGCGAGGAACGTGGCTGGCTCCGTCTCCTGTTCCGTGATGTTGCACGTGGAAGAGAACGAGCACGAGTACGGATACAGGACGTACAGAAGGAAATTGGAGGTCCAACCTTGTCGCGACAAATCGTTAAACGACTTGTACGATCTCGGTGACGAGCTCGGCCGTGGCACCCAAGGTGTTACTTATCACGCTGTGGAAAGAAGCACCGGGAAGAATTACGCGGCCAAAGTAATGCACGGAAAGGGAGATCTGAAGCCGTACATGTACAACGAGATAGAAGTGATGAACAACTTGAATCACAGGAAGTTGCTGAGATTGCATGACGCTTATGAGACTGATACGTCCATCACGTTGGTCATAGAACTGTATCCTTTAACATCCTTTAAAAAAAGAAGAAAAAATGTTGATTAGTTTAATTTTTGTATCGGATGATCGATATTATTATAATATCGAACATATAAATTTGCCTTCTAAGGAAAATTAATTTAAAAATGGAAAAATATTTCTTAACCAATACGAGCAGAGCTGCTGGTGGCGAGTTGGTGGACACTTTAACAAAACAAGCTTATTACACGGAAGCAGAAATTGCTGGTTACGTTAAACAATTGTTATGGGGATTGGAATACATGCATTCGAATCAGTATGCTCATCTTGGCTTGACGGTAATCTCTGTTATGATGAAATTTTCGTCACGTAACGATTCGTTACTCTCCGCTAATTTTAATTTCTTCTTCACAGCTTGGAGATCTGTTGATCTCGCACACGGGTGGCGATGATCTCAAGATCTGCGACTTCGGCCTCGCAAGAAGAATCTCTCATGCGAAAATGATGACTTTGTTATACGGTATGCCCGAATACCTGGCGCCGGAAGTGACCAACAACGAAGGAATTTCCTTTGGCGCGGATATGTGGTCCGTTGGCATTATCACGTATATCCTGTTATCTGGGATTTCACCGTTCAGAGGTAACAACGACAAGGAGACGCTGATGAAGATCAGGGAAGGGAAATGGGAGTTCGACGATCGTTGGAAAAATATCTCGGAGGACGCCAAAGATTTCATCCGTTCCCTGTTGATGTACAACGTCGAGAGAAGAATGGATGTCACAGCTGCCCTCGCTCATCCTTGGCTAACCTATGCTGACAAATCACCTCTTAATTTCTATAAGATTCCATCTGAGAACTTGAAAAATTATTATAAACTGTATCGGTTAGTGATTAATTACTCTTATATTTTCGTTCATTTTAAAAGGAAAAATATCTGTATTTTTATTTCTTTTTTTCTTACGAAAATTATTTTCACTTCACAGGGATTGGTATAACAACGCTTCCTGCCGTACGTGGTTCCGTAGACGTAAATTGAACACAGCCTTCGAACATCCATCCAAGATGGTGTATCCACCTGGTCACAAATACACTCCCGAACCCGAGGATAGACCGTACAGCCCATTGAAGAAACCTGCGGCTAAACCTTGGGAGAATCAAATAAACGAAAGGGAACCAATAGACACGGAAATCGGAATTATTAGGAGTGAAAGCCAGTGAGTTATCTACGTAAAATGATAAATAATATGATAAATTCCAATTTTATTAAGAGATGTACAATTCCTTTCTTTTTTTCTTTTTATTTTAAGTTATCAAAATGGACCAGACACTTATCTTCTTCAACTTCGTGACACGGACTTCCCTGTACGTTTACGCGAATACATGAAAGTTGCTTGCAATCGTAGTCCTGGATTTTCTCGTACCATCACCGATGAGAACTTCGATTGGAGGGTAAATTCGAAACGATTCGGTTCAAGTTTGAGAGTGTATACTTTTTTTAACTATTTTTAATATATATATATATATATAATATTTAGACTCCTATCATACGAGAGCGTCGTCGTTTCACGGATATCATGGACGAAGAAATCGACGATGAGAGGAGAGCAAGGATCAATAGATACGGTTCACCGGATAATTTCACTCTGAGACGTTTGAAGCACGAATTGGGAACACGATTGGACAGTTATGCAGAAGCAGAGGCAATGTTGGAGTCGAAGAAGGAGGGACATTTACCATTTTTCCGTGAAAAACCACAGGTTAAACCTATCGAGGAGGGCAAGCCTGCCCAATTGGCTTGTCTAGCTGTAGGAAGTCCCAAACCATTGATTCAATGGTACAAGAACGACATGATGGTTCAGGAGACGAATCGAATAAAGATCATCGAAGATCAAGACGGCAGATCTATACTTAGTTTCAATCCAACAAAGGAACACGATGTGGGTAGTTACAAGGTTGTTGCGAGAAATTCTTTAGGGCAGACTGTAGTCAGAACAAGAATAGTAGAAGCTTTTGTTCCTTCAGGTCCTGATTCTCCTGAGGTACGTAAAGTATTTGCATTATTAAACTTACTCAACAGATCGAAAAATTGCAATAAAGATATATAAATGGAACGAAGTTTTATAAATTTTTTTTTCAGCTTGTCGATGTCTCAGATACTGAAATACTTATACGATGGAAACAACCTAAGCACGATGGCAATTCTCCAGTGTTATGCTACTATCTGCAATACAAAGAAGGTGACTCGATCGATTGGATAGACGTAGCATCGAATATCGATCACGAATTCTATCTGATAAGAAACTTGAAAGCGGATACAACGTATAACTTCCGTTTAGCGGCGCGAAATCGTATCGGTTGGAGCGAGAAAGGTATCCCATCGAAACTGATCAAAACTAGATTACCGGGTTGTCCAAAGGTTCAAATCACTCAAGCTATGAAGCATCTTCAAGAATTGACCGAATCGGGTCAAGAAATAGTGTTGGACGAGGACAAACCACACATGGATTATTCGGTCGAGGAACATCCTATCGAATGGTCGACCGATACGAATTTCTCGAGCAAATATAGCTTCATCTCCGAGATTTACAGAGGCCAGTTCTCAGTTGTGGTAAAAGGTGTTGATAAGAGTACAGATCGTATAATAGTCGCAAAGATTTTGGAATTGAAAACGGAAACGGAGAAACAAGTGAACAGGGAGTTTGAAGCTCTTCGTTCATTGAGACACGAGAGGATAGCGATGCTCGAGGCGGCATACAAAGCGCAAGGTTCTCCAATCGCAGTCTTCATCTTAGAAAAACTTCAGGGTGCTGACATTCTTACGTATTTCTCAAGCAGACACGAATACACGGAAAATTGTGTAGCCGTTGCTATTACACAGATCCTAGACGGTTTGCAATACCTTCATTGGCGAGGATATAGTCATCTTGATATTCAACCTGATAATATAGTGATGTCCAATGTTAGATCTGTCCAAGTCAAATTAGTTGATATGGGTTCTGCCCGACTTGTTAGTAAATTGGGCACATTAGTACCAAAGGCTGGTCATCCAGAATATAGAGCACCGGAAGTGTACAATGAGGAACCGGCTCATCCTCAGACAGACATTTGGATGGTTGGTGTACTAATGTACATACTCCTTTCCGGTATTTCACCGTTCCGTGGTAAAGATCCCGATGAAACTAGACAAAATATCCTATTTGTGAGATATCGATTTGAATATTTATATAAAGAATTGAGTCAAGAGGCAACCAGATTCCTTATGTTGGTATTTAAACGAGCACCCAGGTTTGTATTCAATGTTTTACTTCTTCTTACATGTGGAACAGAGTTTTTATTTATTTTATTTTTATTTCCAGTAAAAGACCATTGGTAGAAGAGTGTCATGAACACAGGTGGCTGCAACCATCAGATTTTATGATTAAAAAACGCGAAAGAGCCGTATTTTTAGGTAACAGACTGAAAGAATATAACGAACAATATCACGAAGAAAAATCAAATATAGCATCTCAAAACCAAAGCCTAGCAAGTGAAAGTCTGTTAGGTTCCTCTCAAAAACTTATTAGATCGAATAGCATACAAGAAGAACTGCTCACCACGTTTTAACAAATAACTTATTACTAAATATGATTTTCCAATTCTCTTTACGTGACTGTAAAATGCACGCATCTAGTCAGAAAGAATAATTAAAAATAAGAAAGAGGAGAGTATCGAAATATAAGAATCTTCTTTCCTTGTTCTCTTTTTTGTTATTATTTATTTGTTACGTTTAATTATTTTAACGAAATATTACCGTCTGCTCATATGATACTAGAAAGATCTACGAGTAAGAAAAAAAATCGATTAATATTAGAATATAACGTAAGATAAATCACGTTTCAATAAATCAAGGTACAAATCAAATTCTTTAAAATTGTACAAAAATGATAATTATATTCTAATAAAATCACCAATAAATATTAAAAAATTTAAAAAAGCTTTATTATTAAATATCGACTTTATTTACAAATTATGATCTGTTATCATTACAACATTCTATAAAAAGGATAAGTATATTATACACATGACATACTCTTTCCTCTTATTTCCTGTATCATTAATTAAGTAAATTTAAAATTTTTGCAATGAAGTATCATAATATTCAAAAGCTGTATAAGATTAAGACGATTAAGAAAATAAAAAATAACAAATAATCTCCTTAAAATAAGAAGATTAGTAGCATATGTTAATTAAATAATTGGTTGACATCCATTTGAAAAAGTATTTTTTAATCAAATTTGAAATTTTCATCAAAATAAAAATCTAAATTCCATAAATATACAATTATATATTTTTATAGTATTATCCACTTCTAAATCATCTTTTTGCATATTGCATAACATAATCTTTAACCTTACTTCGAAAGGATTCTTTATCTTTTATAAATAGATCAGCTGCTTCTCTGTTTAAAGGATCATCAAAATTTAAAAGATCCTGGAAAGAATACGATTAATTAATTTAATCTTAAAGAATGTATTTAATACATTCAATTTTTTAAGACTTACAGTGAAAAGAGAATTCAAACCCCACACAACATCCTTAAGCTTACGAGTTGGTGCCCATCCCATCTCATCTATACTACTTTGTCTTAAAATTGAAAGACATACATTACCATCTTCATTTATATTAGGATGCCATAACTTTGTTAAACACTTAACTTTTGGTGGCTAAAAAAATTTTGATAATATTACACTGATTTATATTAAATTATAAATGATAATATATTTACAGCCATATTATATTCTTCAGGTATATATATTTGAAATTGAAATCTTCCTCCAGTCCAATATCCTTCATCAGGAACAATCAAAAGAGTAAATTCGTGTAAACAATGAGGATCATGAAATTTTACTTGACATGTAGTAGGTAAGGTTTGTTCCATTTCCTGAACCTAAATAAATGAAAGAAACAAAAGATTTTGACAAAATTACAATTTATTTAGTTATTATTAATTTAAAACATTTGAGACATACATTATTATATCACTATACCTCTTTGATTAATAACTTGTCACGAACAGAAACACGTTTATTATAATCTTTATTTTTTGAGTTTGCTATATCACTATCTTTTTTCAATTTTCCTCTTAAAGTAATCATATTTTCAATAATTCTATAAAAAATAATTCGATAAAGTATATAATAATAATAAAAACTATAATAAATAAATAAAAATATATTTTTATTTATTTATAACTAACAATTAGAATATTTAAAAACAATAAAAGAATTATTATGATTGTTCAAACTATTATTATTTCTTTGATAACCTCTATTTACGTAAACGTTAAAGACATTTAAATATTTTATTAGTTTTAAAAAAAGTTAATAATATTCTATAATATATTTTATATATTATATATTATCCGGAATATTTCTTATATAAATTTTAGAAATTATATTGTCAAATATGATATAATATTTATGATATTTATTATTGAACAAAATGATTTTAAGGTTAGAAAATTAATTTTATTAATATACCTTATACTATGAATATGGCAATACTGTAATATATGTTTTTTTGTGTTTAATTCACAGAAACTGCATTTTGTTAAATTTTATCTTAAGTTTTCCGATTAATAAATATCTAAAAGCAAACGGTAAATATTTAAGTACACTCAAAGTATAAGTTTCGTATTATAGATGGCAATACTGTTTTGTATCGAAGTTTAACTACAATTACAATCTTGCCTTTCCAAAAATCCCTAATATTATATATTTATCAATACTTGAGGACGATTTTTAAAGAATATACTTTTTCTATTCATTCTATTCCTATCTTTATTCTAGCTATTTTTATAATCTCATGTATGATCTCAATAAATAATCTTAATAAAAATTCAAAAATTTCAAATTTATATTAATTTATAAATATGTTCTTATATAAAATATATTCTTTAATATATTTAATTTATATAATTTTTAAAATCCCTATATATTATTAACTTATTTAATTTACTATATATTTTTTCGTATTTATATATATATAATAAATATATATATATTACATAATATATTTCTGCATTCTTCTATATTTAATATTATATTGAACATAATATTATACATAATTCACATATCTGAATTTATTAACTACATCAAAAGAAATTATAGTTTATCCTATAACTTTAATATAATTTAAAAATAAAATTTATTAATTTTATTTAAATAATAGGAATAAAAAATGTAAAAATATATATATTATATATTATATGACATAAAAATAGAAATCGTTTTTTTTTCTATTAAAAACACTTTTTTTAATCTAGACTGCCACGGTTTATATTTGCTATAACGATTTGCAAATATAGATAAATAATAGAAAAAGATAGAGATAGAGTAAAAATTAGAGAATCAGCGCCATCTCTAGAGTGCCGCGAAAGAAACTAATGTAGATAAGGATAATAAGTACTGAAAAAAGGACAGTAATAAAGTAATAAAATAAGAATTGACTTTTAGTGCCATCTTTTGATTAATACAGATATTTAAGTTTCAGCATTTTTTAAAGAGATGGAGATCTTAGTTAAATACTTATTAAATTTTTAGCATTCAAGAAATAGCATTAATTTTGCTTTATTTTTGCTTTTTTCTTATTTGCTTCATTTGTCTATGTTTATTCTACAAATTATAATAAACAAATTTGGTAAATATAAAATTTTCGATTATTTATACACCAAAAAATTAAAAATTTTTTTAATAAAAAAAAAAAAAATAGTTTATGACTGAGTAATTATTTTAAATCATAAAAAATATATCAAGAACATTGATCTTTTGTATAATCGGTATTTCAGAGCATGGAAAATAAAGTTCCACAAGATATATGATCTATCCTGTTCATTATCTGTGGTAATATTAATTACTTGTTTTGATGTACTTGTATGTGTGTAATTATAATTTTTATTCAAAAATATGTGTTGTACGAACTATCAGTATTTTTTTACAAATATTTATAATATACAATATTTTTAAAATAATTATTTTAGAAATAATAATTAAATATAATAAATAATTTAGAAAGATTATGAATCTTAGATAATTTTGATACAAATTGCAATATATCAATTATTAAAAATATATTTATTATATAATAATTAAAATAACTTGAAATGATTATGAAGGAAAATTTGTTTGAAATATTTAATCGTATGCATTATATTATAAAAAAAGCACAATTTTTATAACATTTAAAAATTTTATATTACATATTTATAAACTTTTATATATTTTTAAATTTTTTAAAAATTGTATATATAATGGTACTTAAATATAACTATTTTTTTTATGCAAATGTATGTCATATTTGTAAAAGATTTGGCAAAGAAATCTCTTTAAAGAGATGTGGTAATTGTAGTATGATTTCTTATTGTTCCAAAGAACATCAAAAAATACATTGGTCACAGCATAAAGATTTATGCAATGCAATATGTAGTGTTTTAAAAGACAATACAATATCAATGACTTTAAATATTAAACAAAATATTGACTTAAAAACTTGGACTCAAATGAAAATGAATTTTATGTTACTTGTAGCAATAAAGCTTAATAGAAAATTAGAATACTATGAAGAACAAATGTTCAAATTTCCTAGATCCTGTATTACATGTCATGATCGAAATATAAAGATTCTTGAAGATTGTTCTAATTGTCCAAATATCAGTTTTTGCATAAAGCACAAGGATAATATAATACATAAAAAATTTTGTAATCTTATAAAGTTATGTTTTAATTTAGATATAATCTCAATAACATATAATAAAAAAATACCAAGAATAAAAATACCACATCATACAAATCATATAAATTTACCTCAAAACATAAAAAATTTTATAGATTGTTATATTGAACCACAAAAAGATTTACAAATATCAATGGTAGAAGAAATGATAATTAATACAGAATATCTTACACGACCTTTAACATTCCTTTATGCAATACAAAAATTACAATATTTTTTGAAAAATAATAATATCATTATTCATATTATTGCAGCCAATGTGATAGATATCAATGGTATAGAACTTTGGGAAATTCTCTTACATTGGTTACCATGCACAACAATGGCAAAAATTATTTTAATAGGACCTGAATTATCTATAGGTTCTATATCAATGAATCTATGTAAAAATTGTCAATATAATAACAAACAATTATCAATTCAAATATATGATACACTTTATGAGAGTTATGCAAATAGTGATTCATATATGAAACCAAATTTTATTATTGGATATAATGCAGGAATACATGAATATATAGATTTTAAATCTGAAAATTATACATGGAGGCAATCTTTGAAAATTATAGCTGAACAAAATTGTCCATTGATTCTAACATCTTATACTTTAACAGAAGCAGAAAAAGAACAAATCAGACTTAATGAAGTTTTAAATAATTATATAAAGTGTACATATTTTGAACAAAATCCATTTTCTAGTTTAAGACCATATAGAGATTTTGAAACTGAAGGAATATATTACCAAAATCAATATATAATTATTTATAAAAATTTAAATATTTTGCAATAATTATATAAAACTAATGAATATTTTAATAATTTTATAATTTTAATAATGTAAAATATTATTAGTATAGGTTAATAATTTTATATCAATTTTTAAAAATGTATTTTATAATCGATTTTAAAAAATGTATTTTATAATCAATTTAATGTAATTTTAATGTAAATTTATACTATTTGTATGAATTATTTAATAAATAATAAATAATATTTATTACTTATATAAATAATATTAAATAATATTATATAATAAATAATAAAATACTATTTGCATAATGATTAATAATGATTTGATTATTAATTATTAATTTAAAATATTATTAAAATATGATGACTTCATTGATTATCATTTGCTTTTTAATAAATGTTTTTTTATATTTACAATTTTTATTTTATAAATTATTTTATAGATTAAAGTTTTTCTCTTTACTTTTGATTTTAAATAAACAATTATAGCATAATATCGAATCAATCATTCAACTAGTTTATATACATTATACTATAGATGTCATGCATTAAATGTATTTTCCTGTTATCAAAACTTTAGGATAAGTACTTTTTTTATTATCAAAACTTTCATAAATATTTCAAAAATATAATTATTTTTATCACTATATGATTTATATTTGTATTTTTATTCTTCAATAATAATGGCAGAAATTGAATGGCCATGGCAATATAGTTTTCCTCCCTTTTTTACGTAAGTATTAATAGGTTATATTAATTTCATTCATTGATTTATGATTTAAATCTAAATTATTTTTCAGTCTTCAACCTCATTCAGATACTAGGGCTAAGCAATTATCAGCATGGAAAAGTTTAATATTAGAATATTATCGTGTTACAAAACAAGCTATTATTGATGTAAGAGAAATGCATTCAAGCCCATTATTTAATAATACTGCAATAAATCGTATCCTTTTTTATAATAATAATAATTATTATATGAAATTTTATATTATATATATTTATTCCTAAATATATCTATAGGAAAGTTATCATCAGAAGCTGTTTTATTATTATTGGAAGAATTAGCAAAATCAGGAAATGCAAGTCCATTAGATAAAACAAAACAAAGATGGCTAATTTATTGGCATACTTTAGAAGAATGGGGTGAAATTATTTATAATTGGGCACAAGAAAATGGATTTTGTGGTTCTGTATGTACTTTATTTGAGTTAACACAAGGAGAAGACACAATTGATCAAGGTATGTTATTTTAAAACTTTTATTTACATATGTTAAGATTATTTTATTTAAAATATATATTTCTTATTTTTAGAATTTTATGGACTTGATACAGAAATATTAATTAGAGCACTTAAAACATTGGAAACGAATAAAAAAGCTGAGTTAATTTTATTTGATGATAATCAAGGTGTTAAATTTTTTTAGATACATAATTGTATAAAAGAATTGTTTAAAAAATGTAAATATTCTGCTATTCTGAAGATATGTGTTTATGATTATGTATAAAGAAATATATTTTGTATATTTTTAAAGATATAATTACACATCAAATTAAACAACAAGAAATTTATATAATTGAAAAATATATATATATATATATAATTACAAAATGTATTTCAAAAGAGTACATTTTTAAGTAGAATCTAAAAGAAATTATTTCTAACATTATATTAATAAAATCTGTATAATAAATATTATATATGTACAGAATTGAAAAAAAAAAAAAGAAATAATATTAAATATGATTTTTATATTTGTTGAATTCTATAAATATGTGGAATGTTTTAATATTATGAATTAAGTAATATTTTTTATTTCACATAAAAAAAATAATTGCAATAAAATATTTTTTCAAATAAAAAACAAAATCTATCTTTAATATATTTATAAAGATAAAATGACTCAAGATTATATCTTGTAAAGTACATTAGTGCTCAATTTTTTTTTTTTTTAAGTAACAGTGATAGTTTTCTTTAAGTATCTAATAGTATCCTGCTAATTACAATAATTATTAACTATATAATTATACATACATACACACACATATATATATATGTACATATATGTATATATATAATACATATATATATATATATATATATATATATGTATTATCTCATATAAATTAAAATTTGAATCAACATGAATATACAATTAGTACAAATTATTGGTTATAAAGTATATAAAAAAATATAAACACTAAAATTGTGTTCATATATCATGGCAAATTTGAAGTAACAAAAAAAATAAGTGTTAAAAAATTTATGCTTCTGTTTTTCTCACTCTGGCTAATTCAATTGTTTCTTCTTGGAGATTTGCACTTGCTTCAAGTTCTTTTTTACTCAAATGTTCAACAACATAAGCTCCAAGTGCATCACATATAACGTTTATCGTCGTACGAAAACGATCCCTATAAATATTAATTTAAAATTTGATTATTTATAATAAATATAAATATATATAAATAATATAAAAATATTTTTACTAATATTATAGAATAGATAACTTACAGAAGCCAATCTACGGCAATAATAAGTGTTACATCTTCAGCAGGTAAACCTACAGTATCTAATACCATAACCATTGTAACAAGACCAGCTTGTGGAATGCCAGCAGCTCCTATACTTGCTGCAGTTGCCGTTATACTGCAGAAATATATTAAAGTTATTAAAATTTTAATATCATTTTTAATAAAAAATTTAGTTTAATAATTACCTAACACCAATGACATTGCCAAAAGACAATGGAATTTTTCTAACTTGAGCTATAAATATTGCTGCAACAGCTTCATATAATGCAGTTCCATCCATGTTAATAGTAGCACCAATTGGAACAACAAATCTTGTAATTCTAGGATCTACACCTATATTATCTAAACACTGTATTGTTACTGGCAGTGTAGCAGTGCTAAATTCACAAAAATAAATTTTTCAAAATTTTTAATATTTTTTATATTTATAAAATCAATTAAATCATGCAACTTACCTTGATGAAGTACCAAATGCAGTTGCTAAAACTTGACTCATTTTAGCTATCATTCTAAATGGCAATTGTTTAGTACAAATGAAAAATATAAGAGAAAGTGTTCCACACCCATGAATAACCAAACCTAATAATACTGTAATAAAATATAAGCTTAGTTGTCCAGCAATAGCACCAATATCTTCAATTTCTAAAAGTTTTGATATAACAAGAAAAAGCACACCAACTGGAGATATTCTATGAAAAAATAAAATATTTAGATACATTTAATTTAAATTAAATAAATAATATATTATATATAATTTTTTACCGTATAACCCATTTAGTAATAATCATAGATACTTCAGATAAAGTATCAAAAAAATTTAAAAGTGGTTTTCCTGGTTCACCCATTTTACTAAGAGCTATTCCAAATACAATTCCAAATATAACTAAGCCTAAAGTATTTGTGCCATCTGCATATTTATGAGATATTTCCCAATCTTGAATGTTACTTACTAAAAAATAAAATATTTATTTATTTTGAAATAAATAAATATTTTAATTATTAATAAAATTACCATTGATTCAAATATAATATTTACCTTCTGTTTTATTTTTAGGCTCTATTAATACAGTACGATACTAAAGCATATAATGCAAAATTAATTAAAACTTTAATTAATATTTAAAATAGAGAATTAATTATTTTTTATAGCAAAATTAATATACCTGAGCAATACAAGCTTGTACAAGATTTGGTGGAAACACATTTCTAAAAATAGAATTTTATAAAAAATTTATATAATTCATATAATTTAAATATTTGTTATCATACCTAATTAAATCTAATATTGTATCTGTGGTTGTAATATCTTTAGTTGGTGCTATATTCTCTTTTGCAATCATACCACTTGCACTGAACTCTCCAGGTCTAATAATTAAGACTAAAATTATGCCAAGAATTACAGCAGATATTGTTGTTGAAGCATAATAATAAATCGATCTTATACCAATCTTTCCTATAAATTGAATAAATTTAAAAATATTATTTTTATACTTTTAATTATATCTGATATATTATATACTAAAATTGTCATAATTAAACATTTAAACAAGAAACAATTCGAACATAAAAATTTTATTTCGAGAAAAAAATAATTCTAATTTTTTTTTTTTATTTTTAAATTATTAATACTTATATAATTAAAAAAGAATGAATATGTTATCATAATTGTTCTTGTTTCTTTCTCTCTCTTACCAAAAGACAAATCATACCAGAAAATACTAGTAATCTGTGTTACTAAACCAAACACGTAAACAAGTTTACGCGCCCACGCAATCGATTCGTCATAAGTAATCACTTGTTTGAAAAGTTTTTTACAAGAGGTGTGTGTTTTTTTTAATTACCGGATAAATTAAGATCCAAGCCGCCGATCGCGCTAATAATGCTAGCGACGATTAAAGGCAATATAAGTGCTTTTAACATTCTAAGAAAAATATCCCCCGGAAATTGAATGTACATAATTTCGCGCTTTGTCCACGGTTCATCTTTCACATTTCTTAAAATCAAACCAAGAATAGCACCTATTACAACGGCGATTACAGTAAGCATTGTCAGCATATTTTCTGACATGCAACTTTTCCATTTTTTTGGATGTGCCATATCTTTTTATTCTAAAAAAAATTAATAATATAATATTTTTAGTATGTTATTATATTAAATCAATCAATATCAATATAAATTTATTACATAATAATTTTCAGAAATATATACATATATTGTATAAATTGTTTTACTAATATGAATATAAAATATTATATTCGAAGTTTTATTAAAAAATATGTAACATCGAAATAACATCCTAATATGAACTAGTTTTATCAGCTTGTCGAAATCTAATGTCATCCTCATAACTCGGATCCATATTAAAATATTTGCATATGTATGGAAGACTGTGATAAGACTGACATGTGTGAAATAAAATTATGGATAAAAAGATATAATTGAAACAGAGCATTTCAGATAGAAGAGTATTTTACGCGAATCATAGCAAAGATTTGCAAATACAGGTAAATAGAATGAATCAATCTTATATTAATAAATGTTTCTAAATTATGATGATCAATTCTTCTATTATTTTAGTATTATAATTATACTGTTTATGTTATACATATTGTTTTATAATTAATATATTTATGTTCCTTGTTATTTTTATTGGCCATAAATTATCAATGTTTTTTTTAATTAATGATTTAACTGATTTAATTATCAATTACATATATATATAAATCATAATTATTTATGTATATTTTAAATTTTATATGCAAATAAATTTTTGTAATTTTTAGTTAAATTTTTTTTATTAAAATATTTTAAACTATTATTTAAAACAATATTTGTAAAATATCCTTCATTCTTTGCAAAATATTGATTTGTAATTGTATTGAAATGTAATTACAAAGATTTATACTTATTCAGATAATTGTAAAGTGAATAGAAAAAATAATCTACAAGGAGTGTTATAAGATTCATTGATCCTGCATAGAATATTAAATGATGCATAATATAATTATATAAATGATATAAAATATTCATAAATGTTAATTGTCAATTTAAATATTATTCATATTTCTCATTGTATATAACTATCTGGTAACATCAATTAACCCTAAAAGTATGATATTAAGTTCATGTTTATTCCCTCATTTAAGCAACATCCGGTATCAAATAATTGTATCATAAAAACTATTATGTAATTAAATCTATTAAAATTTATTACAAAATATTGTTTTTTAAAAATATTCAATTAATCAATAAGATTAATTATAAAAATATATATTAAAATGACGAATTTCTTCATTTGTGCTGTATATATGCATGTATGTATATCTCGCAGAAACTGGTATTAACCGGTTTAAACTGTCCTGGAAATCTGCCTTTATGTTTCATCCAACAAAATTGTACACTATAGAAAAATTTATAATTATTTTGTGCTTGCGCGGCAAAAGTTTTTATATTGAGATTTATATCTATATATAGATGAAAAAAAAAGATAGAAAAACATAAAATATGATCAAAAATGATCTCGCATTGACATTTTCATTAAGTGTGATTAAAGATTTGATTTACATGCACCTCCGGTCAAAATAAATGGAAGAAATACGGTAAGGATCAAACACATGTTATTTTTGTTTGTAAGTCGAGTATGGCAAAAGTATTTGTATGAGAAGAAACACAAGACATTCTATGATATCTGAAATATAGTCGATTTATTATTCATGAAATGAACAAAGAAATGTAATAATTATGGATTCATTACGAAGTGCGTATGAGTAAATCTAAATAAAGATGTTCAATGCATAGATAACATTATGACATACATATAAAAAAAAAAATTTTATATGAAAAAAATTTTGATTTAAAAAGTTCTTTCTTTACGTCAATATAATAACAATTAAAAAAATCATTTTTTATAAACCTATTTAAAAATTTTTTTTCCTTAATAATAATAGTATAATTAAAATATATTTTAAGATATATTCAATTTCAAAATTGAAAGTTTAATCAAATATGTTTTGTCACATTTCTGCGCGGATAATTTAAATTTCTGTTTACGCACGTGGACTGAATGTAAGATAATTAAATCGTTCAATTTTTCTTAATAATACAATAAATAGACGTGACAATACCCAATGGGAAAAGTTATAAGTATAATCTGTATAAGTATAATAATTAAAATTAGAACAAAGAAATGAGATATAATTTTATTTATTCTTTAATTCCTGTCACATTGTTTAAATGTTAAAATTAAACTATTACAAATAAATTTTTCAAAAACTATTTTATTATTGAAAAATAATAAAAATTTTAAACGTTACATACTTTCATTCTTGTAAAAAAAATATTGCACATATATCTTGCGTGTTTGTTAAAAAATTGACTTACCTGATAAATTGGATCTATATACAATCGTGATCGTCGATAAAAGAAACTGCGCGCAACAATGCGATCGAATCACGTTGTGTGCCTACTAATTTTTGAATTGGGATGCTGAACACGTTCCGATTTAGAGTACGCGAAAAGTCGTTCTTCCCGCGAGCGCAATCGTCGTACTATCGTTGCGCTGTTCTCGAGAAGTACCGGCTAACTCATGAGAACAGAGCCCTTCGCATCATTCGGATGTAACGTGTGTGTCAGAAATCAACTATCTCTTTCCCTCTCCATCACCTTTTTCATTTCGTATTTTATCTCTTTTCCATTCTCTCTTTTTATCTTTCTCTGTGCCCCGCCGTTCTTTTGCCCCCTTTCACCGAACTCCGGCTATACGTCCTCCCTCCTCGTTGTTTTTATTCCAATGCTATATAACTGGAGATCCTACGGTGAACGCGCGCGCACAACATATACGCGATTTACGAAACCGCGTGTATTTTATTTACCTCAACATTCGAAACTTGAATGAATGGTTATACCATATATAGAAAACAATTATTATACATTCATTAATTGATAAATGTATAATAAGTTAAATCATAATTATTACGAAATACTAGTTATTTCTGGGCGAAACTATTAATTATAAAAATACATCATATAATACATTTTTGACTATATAATATATAATATTATATATATAATTTGATATCTTTGATTTAAAATAAATTAATTTTATTATTCGATGAATAATAATTTAAGTTTTATTTAAATTAAATTAAGTTAAATTATATATATATATATTTTTTAATCTTAACGGATTGTTAATCACTTGTTTCCTTGTTGCAAGATATAAAAGTTAACGAAATTATGTAATAAAAGTGAAACGAACTGAAGCATACAACATATGTCAGGCCATAAATGATTTAATTAATGTACAATTTACAAAAATTAGTGTGAGAATTACTTGACCGCTAGGGACGATGTTTGTATAATTAGATTGAGGTCAGTCACGTGATTGTTTTAATCATTTTGCCCCTCCATTCTCGAATATTCGGCTAAATTTGTTTTATTTTTTTTGTCATTCAAGAATATAAATGAAGAAATACAACGTAATTTTTATCAATGTATCTTCATTTATATTTTACATTTATTTTTTTAAAATAATTGTAAAAAACAAAAAATACAAAAATATTAATTACAAATATTTATTTAAGAACAGACAATACAGATATTATTTATTAAAAATAAGTGAGTCATGTAATACTTAGTCATAAAAATTATTCTTGGAAAATATTAATAAAATAATGTTGCAAGCAATATAATTAGAGAGTTGATTTCGAAAAATATTATATGTAATATAAATGCATTATATAATTCTGAATGATATAAAAAATTGTATGGCAAGATACTTAAACACAGAATTTAATATTTAATTACTAATATTCAAATTTCAAATTAATATTTATGTAATTAATGAATTTAAAAACTTAAAACTTTTTTTTATATTATTCTTGTTAAACATAAGAAATGATTATCCTAAGTATATAATACTAAAGTACTTCATTAATTAGCACATCTATGCAAGGCACTTCAATTACAAAAATATGATAATTTTCTTTATTCTCAATTTTATGGTAGAATAATTGATTCTACCTTAGAGCTATGATTTTCAGAAAAAATCAAAATACTCACATGTTTTTTTTGTAGTTGTATTAAAATACCATAAAGTATTATGATAAATCCAAAATATAAGTACTATTTAAACTGTTATTAAGAACTAAAGGATTCTATAGACATATGTACAGAACACTTCTGTTGTTTTTGGAATGTTATATTAAAGAGAAACATTAAGATAATGAATCATATTATTATTAATATTATTATTATTATTATTATTATTATTATTATTATTATTATTATTATTATTACCATAAAGAATTTAGAAAGATCAAAATTATTTTTTTTTTTTAAAAGCAGTAAATTTTTAAATATGAATATATGTGAATTTGACCATCATATTAATATTGATTTTAGCAATTAATGAGAGTTTGTTTTGTAGTTGAATTGTTTCATGAATATTAACAATGATCTGAAACAGTATTTACAAATTGTTACAGTGGAGTCAATATAATTAATTCTCTGGTGGTGGAGATGTTATTTTTCTTTTAAAGAGTAAAATATGCGGTTCTGAAAAAAATATTTATCAATTAAGTAATATATATTTTAATTAAAAATTTTATTTCCAATTACAATTTAAAATAAAAAATAAAGAATAATAATAAATTTTGAATGTTATCAAAAAAATTCAGCAAATAGACATACCTGGTTTATGAATCATGTAATGAACCCAACCTTGACTTTGTTGAACACCCATAGCTCTCCATTCCTGTTCGGAGAGAAGATGAGTAGTTGGAACTGATTTAACCATTTCTTTTGGTAGTACTACATGTCTATACAATAAAAGAAATTATTATAATATTTATTACTAATGATTTTTTATTTGTTTTGAATTTTTATATTTATATATATATTAGTTATAAAATGATAAAAATTACAATAGCAGTTTTTCTAAAAAAAATTGAATAAATTATTCTCAGTTAATATTATATAAAAAAAGTATTTGTAACATATTGTAAAATATGTTTATTAGATAATATCTTTATAATTAAAAATTTAGTTATTTAATTACTATATGATTATTATCATTATTTAACATTTTTTAATATTTTTTAACTTTATAAATGCAATTTCTTTAACTTCTAATTACAATTCAATATCAATTAAAAATGAATAAGTTAGTAAAGTAACAAAAGAACATACCAGACGGCCATTTAAACGATACGTTATATCTGCATCCAAAAATTGGACAAAGAAGTTATCAAATTATGCATATAAAATGTAGTAATATGAATTCTCTATTATCAAGTATCTTAATTGAACTATTTAAAAAATATAAGTATAAATATATATTCAAAGAATGATATCTGCATATAGACTAAAACAATTCAAAATGGCACAATTGACCAAAATCGAAATCTAAATGAACCATTATGTATTGCTATTATTTATACGAACCTATATTCATATTTATCATCGTAGTATTTATCCGAATAATACATCTTGTGAGACATTTTGATTTACTTAAAAATGTCACAAATTCCTGAGGCAATTCACCACTAAACACTATAAAATGCTACTATATATTTTGGAAAACCTTCCTTGAACAACGTACGCTCACACACAAATTTGAAAGTTTAACGGATGTAACATTAAGAAGAGTAGAAGATAGATACTCACTAGTCGTTGACAGTTAATTGAAGAAAGATTTTATAAAAAATAAAAATAATAATTGAATGATTTTCATAATTTTATTGTAATTTTATAACTACTAAGTTATTTAATATTTATTATATTTAATCGTGTTAGATTACAAATGCAAACGGAAATTTGTACGTAGTAAAACGGAATCAACATTTTAAATTCAATAATGGCGTCTTATACCGTTACTGCATTATTATTTGTGAGGTTAAGCGTCAAATTAATAAATTAATAAAAATTATAATACAAGAAATTTTATAAGAAAATATAATAATAATATTTTCGTTAAAAATGGAAAAATATTCTCATAGAAAAGATTGTGAAAAATTAAAGAAAGAAGATAAAAATCAATCTAAATATAAAGATAAGATTTCTCATAGTGCTAATGAAAGTGATTATGATCGTCATTTTAAAAAATCAAAATCGAGACATAAATCTAAAAATTCAAAATATAAAAAATCTAAACATAGAAATTCCTCTGAATCATGCGAATTTCATAAAAAATCATCGAAAAATAAAAAAAAAAGGTAAATCTTCAAATGCATTTTGAGGTTAGGTAGATAGTTATAAAATTAAAAGTTTATTTTTTAAAGTATTTTTTTTTATTATTAGATCATCATCATCGTCATCTTCATCCAGTTCAAGTGAGTTCAGTAGTTCATCATCATCTAATTCTTCATCAGATTCTACAAAGCTTTTAGAAAAGCTTCAAAAGCAACGTCAAAAACAAATTGAGGATAGAAAACGTCAAAAAGAATTAATGAAAGCTACAGAAACACCAGAAGAAAAAAGATTACGTCGTTTAAAAAAGAAAGAAGCTAAGGAACGAAAAAGAAAAGAAAGAATGGGATGGGATAATGATTATTTACATTATACAAATACAGATAACCCATTTGGTGATGGAAATTTACTTTCTACTTTTGTTTGGTCTAAAAAACTTGAAAAAGAAGGTTTACTTGGTGTAAGTAGAGAAGAATTAGAAATTAGAAATAGACATAAACAAGAAGAAAATAAAAGAGAATTAGAAAAAGTTAAGAAAAGAAGGCAAGAAAGAGAACTAGAGAGACAACAAAGAGAAGAAGAAATGACAATGCTACAAAGAGGAAAAGAAGCTGCTCAGTTGGAACAATGGGCCAGACAAGAAGATCAATTTCATTTAGAACAAGCAAGATTAAGATCACGTATTAGAATACAAGATGGTCGTGCAAAACCAATTGATCTTCTTGCTAAATACATCAGTGCAGAAGAAGAGGTTGATGCTGTAGAAATGCATGAACCCTATACTTATTTACGTGGATTACATGTGAAAGATTTAGAGGATCTCATTGAGGATATTAAAGTTTATAAAGAATTAGAACGTGGTAAAAATTTAGATTATTGGAATGATATTACAGTAATTGTTGAAGATGAGTTGCATAAATTGAGAAAATTAGAAAGATCAGAATATGAAGTTGGTAAGTTATTTTTTATATATTATTTATTATATATAAAATATATAAAAAATTTAAAAAAGATATTAATCTATCATATTTTTCTAGCTGTTGGTAGAAGAGAAGGAATACATGAATCAGTTGCTAAAGATGTAACTGCTATTTTTAAAGGAAAAACAGCAATACAATTAGAAGCTTTGCAGTTACAAATTGAAGTAAAAATTACAGGAAAACCTGAAGGTGTTGATATAGGATATTGGGAAAGTCTACTATCTCAACTTAAAGGTAATTTAATACTATAATATATATATATTATAAATTACATGTATTTAATTTACATGTACTTACATTAACTTACATATTATTTATTGTTCTCAGCGCATATGGCGAGAGCACGATTAAGAGATCGACATCAAGAAAATTTACGTAAAAAATTAGAAGTTTTAATTGCTGAACAAGGTGTAGCTAGAACGGAAAATGAAACTGAGAATTTACAGGCAATTAGTGAGCAATCAGAAAAACAAGAAGAACCAGCTACCACTACAACTGTAGAAAAAAGTGAAGAAAGTCAATCAGAGTATGTATTTTTTCTTTATTTATATATATATAATATATATATAATTTTATAAAATATATAAAAATATTTTTTTGTAGTGATGATCAAGAGGCTAATAATGCAGCAGAAGATCTTTTATCAGAATCATTTTGTGAATATGAATCAGGAGGCTATTCTCCAAAATATATACCATATTCTCAACTTGAGCCAGGAACATTAGTTACTTTGGAAGAGGATGATAATCAACGATTGGAATATGCAAGAAATCAAGTGCTCAGTACAGGTCGAAAGATCCAAAATGTTATGACTGCAGAAGAACAAGCAATGCATAGAGAAGCACGTAAAAATATGAATTCTGATGAAGCACAATTTAGTGTTGAATCATCATTAGAAGCACAGATTTATCTTTGGTCTGACAAATATAGACCCAGAAAGCCAAGATATTTCAATCGAGTTCACACCGGTTTTGAATGGAATAAATATAATCAAACCCATTATGATATGGATAATCCACCTCCGAAAATCGTTCAAGGTTACAAATTTAATATATTTTATCCAGATTTAATAGATAAAAATACAACTCCTGAATATTTTTTGGTAAGATATTCTTTAGATTAATTTTATTTTGTAATTAATAATTTAAACGATTAATTAATAAAAATATTTTAATTTTTAGACACCTTGCGCAGATAATAAAGACTTTGCTATTTTACGGTTTCATGCAGGCCCGCCATATGAAGATATCGCATTTAAAATTGTTAATAGAGAATGGGAATATTCATATAAGCGCGGTTTTAGATGTCAATTCCATAATAATATTTTCCAATTGTGGTTTCATTTTAAACGTTATCGATATCGGCGATAATATATTATGTATATTTATTGTAAATAGAAAATATTTAATTTTTATTATTATATTAATCTTTATTAGTTATTATATTAATCTTTATTAATTTTTAATGAATGTGAATAGTATAACACAATTTTATGTACAAATGTATAAAAATTTACTTTCTATATGAAATTTATCCATATGTTTTTAAATAATTATATAAGTAATATTTCATTATAAATGTTTCACAGTTTAATAATTAATTTAATGTTAATTAAAATTATGTAGAATATAAATTATATATAAAATGTATCATATTAAAATTTTCAAAATATTTTTTCATGTATTTTTTTAAATAATTTTTGATATAATCTCATTTAAAATATTAATATCGTAACAATCTTTTGTATGACAATGAGAATGTATGTAAATGAAACGGTATAGTTGTTGGATCGATTTTCGTAGCCACCTGTATTCTCACACAGTTAACCACAATGCAAAAGATAAAAAGCTATAGCCAATGGCAAGGTAAACCGAAGCTTAGTATAAGCTGTTCTTTCGTTGACAAAGAACTACGCGTCTAAAATCTTATTTCTTTCACAAAATGATTCAAATCGATACAATGAAGTTTGTCGATAAAAGAAAACAAAACAAGAACTGTTTCAATGATCTCCATTAACCGGTCAATATAGAGATGCATTTTTGTTAATTACTTAAAAAATGTTTATGTTGCATCTATATGTATTGTATCATGTTTAAAAAAGAAAGTGTATGTGTATTTGTGTCTTATTTTAGATATTCGTAACTTTTTCGTGTATAATATTATATTTATGATAATTATCACATTTATGTATTTATTGGTTGTGATCTTATCGATCATTCAGAAAACATATATACAAGTGTGAGCATTGTGACTGTATTTAAAATATTGTGATCTAGTTGTGATATTTATATAGATAAATATTCCATACATACTTCATTGGAATTATAATTAAATTTTCTTATGGAGATCGAAAAAAATTACGAAATAATTTAAGTGACATCATGAATATATTGTTGAAAGCTAAATTCAGTGAACTGATAGTGAAGAAGTACAATTTAAAAGTTGAAGGAAAATTCATTTATAATCACGGTATCATAAATGTCGGAGTATCAGAAATTTTTAATAATCGATTGAAAGAATAATGAAATTTAGGTGTGTCTTGTTATAATCAATCACATATTTTATTCATTTTAAACGATAAATTTGTTAAAAAATTTATTATGAAATTTTAAATATCAATTTATATTTTGAAATATAAAATCGTTTTTATGTCAGTGTTATTAAAATAGTATAAAATAAATATTTTTAGTTGTTTGTAACGTTGTCTATAAATTCAAAGTGATAAATCACGGAGTCAACCAAAATCATGAAATGGAAAAAAAACCCGATGGAATTTTTATCTGAGAAAACTTTTCTGGTGATTAAGGACGACTTGGATATGTTGAAAAGTAAGTAGGATTATATTTTTATTAAAAAAGAAAAAAATAAAATAAATAAAAAATAATTTTTTTTATATTTCTACACGCGCGTGCACATACACATACATACACATATACACATATTATAAATTTAGTAATAATTTTAATCTATTATAATTCTCTAGGTAATTTCCATATTTTATATTAAGTTAAATTCAAAAAAGATAGAATTATATAATTAAAAACCATAATTAATTTAAAAAACTAATAATTAATTAAAGATAAAATAATATAAAAATTTATATAAACTATAATATTTAATCATTTATTTTATACTTTTTTTTTACATTTTAATTAAATTATAAAATGGAAAATAAGAAATATATCGTATATATATAAATTATTTTTTAATAATTAGTATCGGATATTTTGTTCAAATGGAATTTATTTTAAACTTTTAAATTTCATTTTTTATTATTTTAATCTGTTCTATTCGTTAAGCTTAATAGATTTATAGATCATAATTTTTCTATTATTTTTAAAAAGAAATACATATCTATTAATTGATTCCTTTTTATTAATTTCAAATATAATAAATATAATAATATAAAATATATTGTAAAAATTAATTTAATGTTAATATATAATAGTTCATTAATTTAGATTAAAAAATAAGATTTTTATTTTAAATTTGTCAAATTATTTTTTTTCTATAATAAAATTTAACATTTTAAATATCATTTAGAGAAAGGAAAGCAGCAAGGAAAATCAAAAATACCGAATACAAGTACTTGGCCACCGAAGATAAAACGCGGTGTTTCCTTGTATGATGAACCAGAAAGACCAAAGACTGCGAATCTCGAAAAACCAAGCATCTTAGATCCTGATCTCGTTGATAAACTGGATATGTCTCTTCTTAGCAAGGAATCACTTATTGACTCAATAACGCAGCATCGTCTTTTGAAAACAAGTGGAGAAATCAAGAATTCATCGTTTCCTTCGTCATCAAGGTACCGACAAAATGTCATTGGGACTGAACGACAACGAGAACAATATAGCCTAGTTTTGAATGGTGAAGCGACGTGGTGCAATCCCTTCTCCATACGCCACAAACGACGTAGTTTCGAACACATTCTCGATTCGAAGCTTGGTCATATCGACATGTCTAGGATGCAAAAGCAGTCGTGTATAGGCGGACAGAATATGGGTTTTACGAAGAAGAATAATACAAAACTGGATGATAATAATAATAGGTTTGTGATAAATTTCTTTTCAGGAAATTTAAAAATTCAAGAATTTAGTAAAAATTTAGTAAAAATGTTAAATACATAGAAATTGAAAATTAATGATCTAATCGTGTCAATTAGAAACGGAACGATTAACCAGAAGGTTGTTTCCTTGTCCACGTTGAAAAAGAAGAATTCAAGACCTATACAATATGATCTGGAGGTGTTTACAGCTTCCTCGACAAAGAGTGCTCCAGAACCTTGTAAAAGCTGCGGAAAATCGAATCAATCAGAACGGTTTCATAGTCATCCAAAGAGTACTCAGTCTAAAACGAAGGATAACTTTACGAATTCGAAGTCAAAAACCACAGTACCGAAAACTGTTCAAAAACCTGTTGCCCTAAATTTTCGTAGTGATAAAAATAAGAACAAAGTGGAGGAAACAATCATTGAAAATCTCAAATCAAATTATTATCAAGAACGACCTAATACATCGTACAGGCCTTCATCAGCACCAATTAAGAAAGGACCAAGGAGTGTTACTTGTTATATATGTGGTCGCGAATTTGGGACTGCCAGTTTTCCTATTCACGAGCCTCGATGCATGCAGGTTAGTTGCATCAATAAATGCATTATTATAATTATTTATTTATAATTATTTCATATATTTTTCTTATAAATTTATGATAAATTTATTTCATCATATTAAAAATGCAAATGTTAATATTTTTTATTTTTATCATTTATTCAATATTTCAAATAATTTCATCAATATAAAAATATTTATTTTATTAAATAATTTATATAATTTATTTTTGTCTTAAAAATATTACATTTAATTTTATTCTGAACTTGAATTATATATATTATTTATATAATAAAATAGTATAAAATAGTATAAAATGTATAAATATTATTGAATCTTTCTGAAAACTTGTCAAGGTTCTTTATAGATCGATATATATATAATTATTTCGTATCTTGATACAAAAAATATTTATTTGTGCACATGAAGTGATATTTCGCAGTTTTTGCTATAGTCAAAAACAGATATGAGGCAATCCATATTATGTCATTTACACATGATTTATACGTTTATCTAGATAAATGCTTATGTTATATACATTTCATTCGATATTTTATTTGTATACTATCTTGACTGAATCTATTATATTCATCTATGGACTATTTACGAAAGAACATTATGACATGTAGATATTACGTTGATCGATTGTACTATTATGATGTTATTTTACTGTGAAACATTTTGAAATTCATATTTATTTTCTATAAATAATTTTTGATTTAATATTGGAATATTATAGTATTATAGTTTGAAAATTATGAATTATAGTTTTTTATATGTGAATATGAATCATATAAAAATTTTATATTGAGATTATTTCTTTTAATTAGAAAATAATATTTTGTTTTTAGAAATTTTTTATCATAAATTTATGGATTCTCTATTTGAAGAAAAAATTATTGATCATTTTTCATTAATTATATAATAATTTTTTGTTGGTAATATAAAATAATTGATAAATATTTTATTAATTGATAAAATAATTGATAAATATTAATGATAATAGAAATGGGAACGAGAAAATAATTCTTTGCCTGTGAACCAAAGACGACCGATACCTCAAAGACCTGATATCACTATCAATCATTCAGATTGGAATGTAGCAGCATGGGAAGAAAGCCAGGTATTTGAGTGATAGTTTTTTTAAGCATATAAATTGCAGTTATTTTTAATTTGATAAATTAATCATTTTTAAATTAATTTTTTGTAATTTCAAGTAAATTTTATTTGATATAATTATTCAAAAAAGATTAAAAAATTTATCATTAAATATTTCCATAATTATTTTTGTGCATATATATACTTCGATTATTATATTGAATGATTCATTCTATTATGTTCGTTACGGCTGATGACATTTTAGCAGATGATGATATAATTTTATTTATATGATTTTTTGTAATTACTTAGACACAAAAAAAATAAGAATTATTAAAATATTTTTGATTTATTCAAATATTTTTCAGCTTTGTTTACATTTTAAATTTATTTTTCATTTATGTTTACATTATGCTTCATTTTTTAAAAATTTTTCTTATCTTTCAAATATGAATATTAATAAATATAAGAATACAAATTTTATTATATGTTAATGTAACATATGCAAATGTCTTTTATGAAGAAATATCTTTTAACTAAATCGATCATAATGTACGTAACAGTAAAGTAATTCGTTAATATTCACACATATACATATTTCTTATACATACATAAGCACATAAATATGTGCATGTCAGGTATTCAACGAAATGCATATAGTATAAAATCTCTGATTCCATATAAAAAGCATATCATGCACAGTAATTATCCGAATCTTATCGTATTTAAGGTACTGCTCTACATTTATCAAATAAGTTTAATTATTTAAGAACAAGCTTTTGAACTAAAAATTAAAAAGAATTGCATTGCGATTTATTAAGTTGAAGATTTTAGAACTTTTTTCCGAAAATTTCTGTCGAATAATATGTTAATCATAATAATATTGGTTAAAGTTCAAGACAAAATAATAATATCGAATTGTTTTTATATTTTTAGGCACAACTGATTTCTTGCAAATGTGGAAGAACATTTTTACCAGAACGGTTATTAGTGCATCAGAAAAGTTGTAAAATTTTTATAAAGGTGAAAATATTTCTCTAAATTTTACAATTTTCCATTCTAATAATATATCAATTATTTATTGCAATTCTTTTATCTGTAGAATTCTGAGACGGAAAAAACAGGAAGCTTGTTTAAAGAAAAGTCTGCAAGTATAACACGAGTAGGACCTCCTATGATTACTTGCCAATCTTGTGGCAAAAGTTTCGGCACTAAAAGTATAAAGATACACGAGCCTCAATGCATCAAACGAATGCAAACTGAAACAGATAAACAGTTTCATTCTCGAAAAAAAGAGTCGATTCGACAACAAAAATCAGAAATGATGATCGTGCACGAAAATTTAAGCAGGCCAACGGGGGTGAGTCGTATTGGAAGACATGCTTATATCATTCAATTTGTATAAATGTTTTCACATGATTATTCTCACGATATTATTCGCGATTATTTTGTCCTGTACAAATTAAATTTTATGTAAAAATTTGTGACTTGATTGTTATAAATAAAAATGTATCGTTTTATGCTTGTGTTATTAATCAATAAAGATAATCAACAAGATAGTTGAGTTTGAAGAAAATTGATTTTAGGAAAATGAACAGAAGAAAATGGTCACATGTTATATATGTAATAGAGATTTTGGATCCACTAGTATAGCCATTCATGAGCCGCAATGTTTAAAAAAATGGTATACTAAAAATCAAAAATTATCACCAAATCAGAAGAGGAAGGAATTAGAGAATCCTGAAATTATCTATATTCGTAAGTCAATGATGAAGTCCTTATATGATTTTATGATTCCGTTTATTTTTCGAATGAACTAACTTCAATTACTGAAAAAATGCACACATTTAGTAATATAAGTGACATTTTCAAAGCATTTTAATTGATATTACCAGAGATGATGATTTATCCAATTTTTATTAATTTTATTTTAATATAATTTTTATTTTTACGAATCGAATCCATGATTTTTATTTTATTTTTAAATAATTAATAAAATCATGATGTGAAAGAATTAAATAATAATTGCGTTTTCTGGTATTCTACCAATAAACTTAAGGTCAGTGAATATATCGATTAAAAAAAGATATATACGATTAAAGATCGAAAGTTATAAAGTTCAAATTTTGCAAATACATTTTAGACAAGATAATTTGAGTTATAATTAATGACTAAAAATTTTTAAAAATTATATTTTTTAATATGTGAACAATAAATGTATAACGATTTTGTATATTTTCATATTTTTAATATTATATAAAAAAATTTCTTAGTTAAAAATAAAATATTTATTAAGATAATTTGTATACAGGTGATTCAGAAACAGGAAATATGACAATTGATATTGCTGCAATGGTTGAAGACAGTTGGAAATCTCATTTAAGTCAATTGCTTCCATGTAAACGATGCGGAAGAACTTTTAATCCTGATCGCGTAAGCATCCATGAACGAAGTTGCAAGGGGAGTCATTAAATATATGCAATCCAAAAAAATTAGAAGATTTATAACTACCACTTTGTTTCAATAATAATTTTATTTTCATTAAATAGAATTGGAATATTTTATTAACTGATGAAATCATAGGTAAGTCATCTTTTAATTATTTTGAACTATAAATATAATAATGTGTCTTTGTTAACAAAAATAACAGTGATTTAATACATTGTAAAAAACAATTAAATTGTTTTATTATTTATGTTTTCTTTTTATATTTGAAGTGTTACATTTTAATAGAGATAGTATATAAATATTACACATCATATTTCAATATAAAGAAAATTTAGATAAAATATAAAGAATATAATCAATATAAAGAAAATTTAGAAAAATAAAGATAATCATAGAATAGAAATACTTAATTTTTATAAAAATTAAATAGTTTTATTGTATGCATATAATGTATCAATATATAATATATATTGCACTGATATTAATATTTTTAAGAATAATTATTTTATAAGAAAACGCACAATTCTTATTTTCTTAATGCTAATGTAATTTATATATATCTTTTGTACACTTATCTATATCAAATACAGTGAATAGATTGTACAATTTTCTTTATTGAATATAGGATTTTATATCAATTATATTGACTAACAAAAATAAGAAAATAATATTTAGCTATATATGTTAAATGATATTTCTTTCATAACCTTTAAACTATATTCTTTTCTTTTTTTTCCATGTTCCTGTCTCCTTTTCTTTTGATAAAAAAATGTTTTTAATTTAAAAAAATTTATTTTATCTTTATAGAAAATAATTAAAATTAATTAAAAAAAAATTGATTCATTGTTAATTTTTTTAAAATTTCAATTTAAATAATTGAGATGGCAGCACTAAATACAATTGCTATTATATGACTACTACAAATTAACGGATTGCATTTAAATTCGTGTATTATCGGTTGTAAGTTGCGCGCGCAAATTAACCCACGTGGTAGGGATTACAAAATTCCAATTGGCCCTGTGCACAATACGAAATACGCGTGACAAGAGGTGCCCTCTATCATATACGAAACGTTCATCCCTTTCACAGAACTCCTGTTCTTTCCCAGGGAGTCCGCCATTGTTGGTGCACGTATATTTCTGACCAGGCCAACGGATATCGGACAACATCCAAAATGGTATGTATAATCTTTCTAAAGTATCACGAACGTGTAAATCTGTACAATGTATGGAGTGCAGAGGTATAAATATTTTTGAAGACCGAGTGTCACCTGGGTTTGGAAAAATTGAAAACTGGCGGATTACTTGGGATTGCGCAACTCCCTTCGAAGACAAATTTTGAGGCTCGCGATGGATATGCCGGGGTTAAAATCTCTGAAGATTCTACAAAAATTCTGGTGAAACATTCCTGAAAATTTTACGGCACAAAGGTTCAAAGTTACCTATATTAAAAGTTCAAATATGTTTCGTCTCTTGCTCAAGAGGCAACGTGTCATGGAGCTTTGTAAGGCTCTTGATACGAACCAGCATGTTCTCGGAACATCGTGAGTCTTCAAGAAAAGTTCTCGACGGTTTCTAGTGAATTGAAAAACTTACGAAAACGATTTTAAATCATTGTACAGAAAAAACCTAACATACTACATATAGGAAATGAGGAAATTGTGACACTCGAGGGGGGCAGAAATCACTCTAACACAAAATGCTGTCCAAATAAATATCCATAGGAATATATTTCTTATTATAATAAATAAATAAATATATATATACATATATACATATATGTTGATTATATTTCTCAAGATTTATGAAGATTTAATTTCGATATGGTCAGTATAAGGATAATTTTTTCTTTAAAATAATACTAAAATAATACCTTTTAAATAAGTAAAATTGTTTTTGAAATTATATAATTCATGTTTCGAAATAATATTAAAAATATGTTAAAAAATAACATTTTTGATATTATAATAGAATTAATGTGAAATTTATATTGTGGAAGATTTAATCAATTTCAGTTTTCATACTAATTATATATATATAACAAAATTTTTTATTTGTTAAAGGTGAACTTTACGGTGGACGAGATACGTGCCATGATGGACAAAAAGAAAAATATTAGAAATATGTCTGTCATTGCGCATGTTGATCATGGAAAGTCAACTCTGACTGACTCCCTTGTGTCCAAAGCCGGTATTATTGCTGGTGCTAAAGCTGGTGAGACCAGATTCACAGATACTCGTAAAGATGAGCAGGAACGTTGTATTACTATTAAATCTACGTAAGTTTATTTTATTTAATTTTATCATTGATTTACTAATTTTAATTCTTCTACAAATAATATTTTTATTTTATTGCAGTGCTATTTCTATGTTCTTTGCCCTTGAGGAGAAAGATTTAGTTTTCATTACAAATCCTGATCAACGTGACAAAGATGAAAAAGGTTTTTTGATTAACCTTATTGATTCACCTGGTCATGTCGATTTCTCTAGTGAAGTAACTGCTGCTCTTCGTGTAACTGATGGGGCTCTTGTAGTTGTTGATTGTGTATCTGGTATGTATTTTAAGTGATATATTTGAATTAAACTAATATCTCTTCCAGCACAAATAGCGTTACTCTGTAGTATATTAGTTGGTTTAACTGACTGATGTACATGGACAGTGTTGATGGTGTATTAATGGAAGAAGATCAAAAAGCAGCTGTGTTTAAACGCTATTGGTGGACCTCTATCTTTATGTCCAAGATTAATATGCTACAACACAATTGCTACAGCACAATTTCATAATTTAATTTTATTATTTTTTTATAGTTTTAAAAATTATAATTTTTCCATAATTTTTTTAAGGTGTCTGTGTACAAACGGAAACTGTACTTCGTCAAGCTATTGCCGAACGTATAAAACCAGTATTGTTCATGAACAAAATGGACAGAGCACTTTTGGAACTTCAACTTGATAGTGAAGATCTTTACCAAACTTTCCAACGTATTGTTGAAAATGTTAACGTTATTATTGCAACATATTCAGATGATGATGGTCCCATGGGTGAAGTTAGAGTAAATATATTTATTTCATTTTTATTATTTTTTATTTTTATATTTTTATCCATTAGATTATGTTTATCATTTTTTTTGTAAATAGGTAGATCCTAGCAAAGGTTCAGTTGGTTTTGGATCTGGTCTTCATGGTTGGGCATTTACATTGAAACAATTTTCTGAAATGTATGCTGAGAAATTTAAAATTGATGTTGTAAAGCTTATGAATAGATTATGGGGAGAATCATTCTTTAACCCCAAAACTAAGAAATGGAGTAAGCAGAAGGAAACAGACAACAAACGATCCTTTTGCATGTATGTCTTAGATCCAATTTATAAGGTATGTTAGTTAATATTATATTAGTTAATATTAAGGTATGTTAGTTATATATAATAAATATATGAATAATAATAATTATTTCTACATATATAAATAATGAATATAAAATTAATAGGTATTTGATAGTATTATGAATTATAAAAAAGACGAAGCGGATAATTTACTGCAAAAATTAGGAATTGTTTTAAAACCAGAAGATAAAGATAAAGATGGTAAAGCTCTTCTTAAGGTAAGATTTTTTTTTTGCTTTAAACTTTTATTTTAATACTTTCTAATATCTTGAAGATTATTTTATGATGACTATTCTTTCAAAACTTTTCTGACACCTATTCTGAATTTTTTTGATTGATAAGCATAATCTGATAACAATTTTTTGAAACAATCAATTAATTATTTACTAGTTATGTGATTATATATAATTATGATTAAAAATTTCAGGTTGTTATGAGAACATGGTTACCAGCTGGAGAAGCTTTGCTTCAGATGATTGCTATTCATTTGCCATCTCCTGTCACTGCTCAAAAATATCGCATGGAAATGTTATATGAAGGTCCTCTTGATGATGAGGCTGCAATTGGTATTAAAGTATGTTCATTAATATAATAAAAAATATTAACGTACTTTTATAATTGATGAATTCATTTTCAGACTTATTCTGATATTTTTAATGATATATATTAGAAATATTATGACATTAATAAATAATTCAACTTTATAAAATTATAAAGTTTATACATTAATGAAATTTTTATAGAATTGTGATCCAAATGGGCCACTCATGATGTATGTTTCAAAAATGGTACCAACCTCTGATAAAGGACGTTTCTATGCTTTTGGTCGTGTATTCTCTGGAAAAGTAAGCACTGGAATGAAAGCACGTATCATGGGGCCTAACTTCCAACCGGGTAAAAAAGAAGATCTTTATGAGAAAGCTATCCAGCGTACAATTTTAATGATGGGTCGTTACGTTGAAGCGATTGAAGATGTGCCTTCTGGTTAGTAAATCTCTTTCTGTATTGTTAAGTTATTAAAGTTTATTAAAAATATAATGATGATTGTTCTCACAGACCTGTTCTGATAATTTTTGATTGACAATAGAACGGCCAACTGATTTGATTAATAATATTAAAACATTAAGATTTATATATAAATAAAATTATATATTTAAGATTAATTATTTTGTAATTTAAAAACAGGTAATATTTGTGGACTTGTTGGTGTTGATCAATTCTTAGTAAAAACTGGTACTATAACCACTTTTAAAGATGCACATAACATGAAAGTTATGAAATTTTCGGTTTCACCTGTCGTCCGTGTTGCTGTAGAACCCAAAAATCCAGCCGATTTACCCAAATTAGTCGAAGGTATATTTATTTATTTTTCTAAATAAATTTTTTCAATTTAATATTTAAGGATGAAATATATTTTGAGCATTGGGTTATGATAAATCGTGATTTTACTTACAAATCTGAAAGTGATTATTACTTAAATCATATTTGATAAATATAATGATATTTTTTAATAAAGTGATTAATCTTCAGGTCTTAAACGTTTGGCAAAATCAGATCCTATGGTACAATGTATTATTGAAGAATCAGGAGAACACATTATTGCTGGAGCTGGAGAACTTCATCTTGAAATTTGTTTGAAAGATTTAGAAGAAGATCATGCTTGTATACCTATTAAGAAATCGGATCCCGTCGTTTCTTATAGAGAAACAATTTCAGAACAATCAAATCAAATGTGTCTTTCGAAATCACCTAACAAGCATAATCGTTTATTCATGATGGCATGTCCAATGCCTGATGGTCTTGCAGAAGATATCGATAGTGTATGTTTAAGTTTCATAAAAATTTGATTAATATTTTTTTCGTTTTTTTTTTTTATTTAATTTTTAATATTTTATAGGGTGAAGTTAATCCAAGGGATGATTTCAAAGTACGTGCTCGTTATTTAAATGAAAAGTATGACTACGATGTGACTGAAGCTAGAAAGATTTGGTGTTTTGGACCTGATGGAACTGGTCCCAATATTCTTGTAGATTGTACGAAAGGAGTACAATATCTTAATGAAATTAAAGATTCTGTTGTAGCTGGATTCCAATGGGCCACAAAAGAGGTATAATATTAAATTTATATAAAAAAATAAAGAATATTTGAAAACATGATTTTTTATACTCATATTATTTTTTACCTCATTATTTTATAGGGTGTTCTTTCGGAAGAAAATTTAAGAGGTGTACGCTTCAATATTCACGATGTAACGTTACATGCTGATGCTATTCATAGAGGTGGTGGTCAAATTATTCCTACCACAAGACGTTGCCTTTATGCTTGTCTCCTCACTGCCTCTCCTCGACTCATGGAACCAGTTTATTTATGTGAAATTCAGGTAAATTTCATTTTATGATTTTTAATTTTAAAAAAACATTTTAATTTATTATGATGAAGATTTTAAATTTTAATAAATTAAAATTATTTCAGTGCCCTGAAACAGCTGTTGGTGGTATTTATGGTGTGCTTAATCGAAGAAGAGGTCATGTATTTGAAGAACAACAAATCGCTGGTACACCTATGTTTGTAGTTAAAGCATATCTTCCAGTTAATGAGTCCTTTGGCTTTACTGCCGACTTACGTTCTAATACCGGAGGACAAGCTTTCCCACAATGTGTATTCGACCACTGGCAGATTTTACCTGGTGATCCAATGGAACCTAATTCTAGACCTTACCAAGTCGTGCAGGTAATTTATCTGATTTGAAATTTATATTCACCCACGATCATAACTGATGGTAATAAGTAAATATAAGTATATTACCATTTTTAATCTCGTGGAAAAGAAATTGTTTTTTGTTTTGGTATTTCAATAATATATTCTGACTTACCTGAATAGGGAAACAAACATCATTTTTCTTGTTATATATGTATATTTTTTTTAATCTATGCATATGATTAAATATGATTATTCTTTTAGGAAACACGTAAAAGAAAAGGATTAAAGGAAGGTCTCCCAGATTTGAATGCATACCTTGACAAATTGTAACCATAGATTCGCGCACCATATTTAAATATCTATTTAAATATTGTAATTCAATTAATATCGCTCGGACCGTATACAATCTACATCGGTTTATTATGAACTTTGTTTTGCGCAAAGAACCGTAAAAATCACATGATTATAAATATGGGAAAAAATAATAAATTGTAATTATAATGGAAAGTACATATATTAGCGCAAGGAGAAATATTTTATACATTTATTTAATTAAGCATGCCACATTATCAAGATCTCTAGTGGCTTTGTTTTTAGCATATCAGCATCAGATAAAAATTAAATTGTTATTTTTATTATGGTGATAACTTATTACCAATTTCGTATAAAAGAATACGAACAAAAAACCATAATTTTTTACATTGCTTTTTTACCATAATTAGTTTTAATTTTTCTGTTTGTGTTCTCAAACAATTGGACGAATTTTAAAGTTATCTGATAATAAAAAATCTACAACAGCAATGTACTCATTGAAACAATACATCAAGAAATTAAAAATGGAATTATAAAAGCAAATGTATTTTATTGTTTTTACAAAATAATACCCAATTTCAAAATTATTTCAAAATTTCACGGAACCAGGAAACAAAAAAAAATTATATAAAACTGTATAAAAATTATTAATTATTTTATTTTAATAAAATATACCTTTATTTTAATAAAATATTTATCATTAACATGTGATGAAATAATCACATTCGGTATACCAAATCTATTTTTTTATATATTTTGTCTTGATTTCTTTGATTTTTTGTACATATTGCCACATATAATTAAAATACATTTTCTTAATTTATAAATACTAATTTAATAGAAGTATATCACATTAATTGAAATTGAATCTTTGTTTCAACAATGTGATAAAATGTTAGATACTTATTTAAAGTAAGAGCCTAAAATATAAATTTTGCAACTGATACAAGTATACTATTATTATAATTATATTTACAAAAACGCAATTCATTGATAAATTGCGTCGATGTATTCTTCATAAAAATTTAGACAGGATTAATTGTATTTTTATAAATTCCAGCTAGTGATTGAACTGCTAAAAGTATAATGTCTCTTCTGGAAATTCCAGTAAGTGCATGATGCCATTCATTGTGATTAACCTATAGGACAAATATTTTTTACAATTTTAAATGTAATTATTATAATTATTTGAAACTAACCTGTAAGCTATTTGCCATTAAACTACCAACAGTAACTGACAATCCAGACCATTTAAGAGGATAATCTTCAGGTGTAGCTTCTTGTGCCATTGTTACTATTTGACTTGGTACTGGAGTCATTTGAGTGAAGGTTTGTAAATTCACATTACGTTTGGGGTCATTAAGAAGTATCACCCCTAAATCATACCACTTATCTTCACCAACTTCTAACAAAAAATTTTCCACTGCAATTATAGGTATATCTTTTGGAAGAGTAGGAATATTTCGTGCAGAATTAATTCTCTCTTCTGCTCCTTTTACACCAGCAGCAAAACCAACTGGTTGAGCAGCTACAGCAGAAGTTTCTACTGAGACACCACTATAGAAATAATGAATTGTTTGAATAAAAATAAAATAGTATAAATATAATAAATTAAATAAATATTATATTAATATAATATAATATTAATTTATATTATTACAATTTTATTATATTATTACTCACGTTACTGTTGCTTTTCCAAAAACAGTTTGAAAAGCCTGACGTACAGGACTTATTTTAACATCTTTGTCTGATGCAACTATAATCTCCATGTCACCACCAGAATCTGAAATGTATACTTTCAACAGAGCCCGCATATATGTTTTTACATTGACTAACATGTTGCACAGTCACTATGTTACTATTTACATTTACATATAAATAGTATTTATATATTAAATTTATATATTATTTTTTAAAAAGTTTTATTGCCATTTTATTGCAATATAATGGCACAAAACATAATACTTATTATTAAAAATTGTTTTCAAAAATAATGCTTTATAATACTGAGCATAAATATATGCATAATTGGTGAAAAAGTATTTATTTTTAAAAATATTTATTTATAAAAGTTCTTAATTTATAACCTTAAATTTTCACAGTTTTTATTTATAATGCAAAATATGAAATTTTTTTTTTTTTATATGTGACTTATATTACTGTTATACATATATTATATAGTTTTAGCTCAATAAATAAAAAATGGAAAAGTTTTTTGTAAATGACAGTGACACAGCGAATTGTATTTGGTTTGCAGATCATCCAAAAATAACACACTACATATATATTTCTTTCAGATATGATGTAATAACATAATTACACACACAATGACATATATTTAAATATACAAAATAAAATATCAAATAAATTGAAAAATTTACAAAATAGAAAAGGATTAAATTACTTTTACTTGCATGTCAGGATTAGTAGCTTTCTTACTTACAAATGAACTCACGCATCTGAGGATCTAATGTTGTGATCATAGTATTAACACTATTTTTTGCTTTTTCTGCAACTTTGCTCAATACATTACTATTTACTACTGTTTCTTTAACCCATGACAATAAACCAACTCCAACCATTCCTGAATCTTGAGTCACAGTTTCTGATGGTATTGTAGTTGGTACATTTTGTGTGGACGGAGTAATAATAGAAGTTACAGTTGTTTGATGTGTTTCTTGCTGTAATGATTTAGATTGAATAATAGTATTTAACATTGATTTAGTAGGTTCCTGTTCATGAAATTTCTTTTGCGTAGATGATTCCAAATTACTAGGCCTTTCTGATATCAATGTTCCAGAATTTGAAATAAAGCTAGGTAATGCACTAGGTGGTGCTACATTTGATAATAAATTGCCTGTAGATGTTGATATGCCTAGTGGCATTAATAAAGATGTTGATGATGATAAACTGCTAAAAGAATCTGAAAATTATATGATTATTGTTATCTATATGAGTATTATTTTATAATAATATATTAATATTATAAAATTAATAAATTATTTTTTTTTAAATAATATTTTTCGTTTAAATATATCATAAAACATTTTATATAATAAGATACAATTTGCTAAATATAAATCTATTTATTATAAATTTAAATTCATTTTATGTTATATTTTTAAAAATCATTTATATTTTTTAAAAATTTATCTTTTATAATTTATTTCTAATATGAATTTTGCTAATATGAAAGTCTGTGCTAACTAATTATAGCGAACGTAAATCTTTTCACTTGTAAAAGAATTTGACAGATACGCAAGTGTTTATGTTTTGCCTTTTTTCTTACCCGTTTTTACTATTTCTCCAGATGTAGATGATTCATCTGTCTTTCTTTCAACAAATTCGAATGTAGATTCTCCATTGGAATCGTCAGTCATTGCTGATTAACTTTTCTAAATTTACACGTTAAATGTCCAAAACTATATTGTGAATTTTCCGTATGTAGCTATGTATGCAAAAGACATAATAATACATTGACTATGTATAATTATGAGTTATAAGTGACTAACTTCATTGTTTTAAAATACTCTGAAGATAGTAACTAATCTCTATTTTTTTTGTTTCACATTATTTATGCAAAGTAAGTATATATTGATAGTTATTATGAAAATTATATTTAAAAATGATATATTTATTTGAAATAAAATATATACAAAATATATTGCATTACATTATTACATATATATCGATTATTTTTGAATAAATATTTTTTAATATTTAATTTACATATTATTTATATGAGAATTAGAGAAAATATTATTCTGTTTCAAAACTATTTTTCAGTATTAAATCATTTATTTTGATTTATCATATTTATCAATATAAAATATAATATGTAGATGTACAACTCCATTTTATATGTAAAGTGCAAGTTAAGGTTATGTTCAGTAACAACATGTTACTCTTTTATTTCGTATAATTTGCATATACATAGTGAAAAAGAAATACTAAGCAAAATAATGTTGCTCCGAGAATGTTGCAGAATACAGCCAGCTGTACATCTGTAATCATCTAAAATATAAAATATTGAAAGATTAATTTACTGATTTATATTTTTAATTTAATAAAGAAAATATTTAAAATTACATAAAAAAATCTTATAAAAAATTATCTAATAATTTAATTAATTATGAAACATATAATTACCTTATAGAATTATTTTATAATACACAGTTCAGTATGTTTGAATGACATACGTGGTCTGACACGTTATACACTAACTTCATGAGAATTTGTCATGAAACAGTCTCAGTCTCGTTCATAGAACTTTCTTCAAGTTATAAAATAGTAAAAAATTGCAGAATATTAAAAAATTATAAAATGTATAACATTTTGTATTCTATATGGATATGAATTAATAAAAAAGTTAAATTTTATATGTTTTAAACTAATAATTTACTAGTGAAAGAAATATAACTAGTAATATAATACATTAGATATATGTATTTTTTATAATTTTTATTAAAATAAATTTATAATATTATGATATATTATTATATTTTATTAATATAAAAAATAAATACATTTTTAAATACACCATTATTTTTAAATACAGCAATAGTATACATATTAAGATTTAATATTAGTTTATTATAGCTAGTGACAATGTGCTTAAGATGTACCGGTTTATTGAAATGTATTCAAATAATATACTGAAAATACAAATTTTAACTAAATAAAAATTAAGTTTTTCTATTAATTTAATATTGATAATTTCGTTTAAAAATTTCAAATATATATTTTATTTATATAATTATAATAGTCATAAAGAATGTTAGTAAATTAGTTGAATTCTACAGTGTTTTTCCTCGTTTCTAATGATATAAATGTACAAAGTAAATTGTTGAAAAAAATAAATGATTTTAACAATGATGTTTCATATATATATTAAATTATAAAAATTTAATTTTATGATTTTTTCACATTTGGCTAATTTTATAAAAAAGTTTATTAATCATATTTCCTAACCTTTATTTATATTGATAATTGCATATAATAATTTATATATCGAAGTTTATTTTATTTTGTATTTTGTAAATAAATAAATAATTAAAGATGTTTGAAGCACACAGTATTAACGCTGAACATAAAGATTTGATTCATGATATTGCTTACGACTTTTATGGACAACGAATGGCAACATGTTCTAGTGATCAATTTGTAAAAGTAAGATTTTTGCAATCGTTAATTGTATTTGTATTATGAACAATTTCTATTGTATTCATACATAAGAATAATAAATTTATGTAGGTCTGGGATGAAGATGAACATGGAAATTGGCATTTAACTGCATCTTGGAAAGCACACAGTGGATCTGTATTTAAAGTAACATGGGCACATCCAGAATTTGGTCAAGTTTTAGCAACATGTTCTTTTGATAGAACAGCAGCTGTGTGGGAAGAAATAGGTAATATTATTATTGAGTTTTATTTTTAATTTTAATTTTAATTTTAATTTTAAATGATTTTTAATTTTTAATTTCTATATTATGATTAATTATTTTATAGTTTATTATTATTAATTTTATTTGTAGTTGGAGAAGGGTCAGGACCAGGAGAACGTGGTATGAGACATTGGGTTCGAAGAACAAATCTAGTAGATTCTAGAAAGACTGTTACAGATGTAAAATTTGCACCTAAAACTTTAGGACTTTTGTTAGCTACTTGTAGTGAAGATGGAGTAATTAGAATATATGAAGCTCCTGATGTTATGAATTTAAGTCAATGGACTTTACAACATGACATTAGTTGTAAACTTCAATGTAGTTGTTTATCATGGAATCCATCTCTTTCAAGGTATAAAAAATTACTAAAATTTATATAATATATATTATAAATATGGAAATTAAATATTCATCAATTATTTTATATCAGATTACATCCTCCAATGATAGCAGTTGGAAGTGATGATCCAAATCCATCATCTGAAGGAAAAGTTTTTATATATGAATATTCTGAAAGTAGTAGAAGGTGGACAAAAACACAAACATTATCCATTGTTGACCCTGTTCATGATATTGCATTTGCTCCAAATTTAGGTAGAAGTTTTCACACATTGGCTATTGCATCAAATGATGTACAAATAATTACATTAAAACCTATACTGTGAGTATAACTTTTTTTTAATTTCTATAAGTATTGAATATAAGAAATTAGATAAAAATGTTATTAACATAGGGATAGTGCACAAAGTGGTTCATCACGTTTTGAAATTAACATAGCAGCACAATTTTCTGATCATAATCCTACTGTATGGCGAGTGTGTTGGAATATTATGGGAACTATTTTAGCAAGTTCAGGAGATGATGGTTGTGTTCGATTATGGAAAGATAATTATATTAACAATTGGAAATGTGTTGCTGTTTTGAAAGGTGATGGCACCTCTGCTCAAAGTGCTGAAACTTCTATAGCAGCAACACCGCCTAATCATTCAACAGGAATACAACAAACATCTTCTACAACAAGGTACTACAAATTGGGTTCCATCAGTCATCCAAACCAAGTGCCTTGGCATTAGACAAAATGATTTATTTTTTAACATACTTAATAGTTTTATTATTTCATATAATGTCAGAAATTTTGGAAAATATTGGATTTATATTTATATAATAAAAATATTAACTATTCTTATTTTTGAACAAATATTTTGTATTTTTAATAATCAAAAAAATCAATTTATATTAATAATATACTAAACAATTATAATTTCATAGCATTGCACATTATTTTATTGTTTTAATAATTTGTATTTTTTTGTTAAATAATATAATTATAAAATAGGTGTTCTACTAGAATTGTTTATGATATAACCTATCATATTATTTAATCATTTAGTTATTTTGATAAAATGATAAACTTATTGTTTATTTATATTTATTTTAAACAAATTTCTACTTGAAAAAAGAGCGATATCTTGCTATTAGAAATTAGCAAAGAATATATTATTGAAGAGATCATTAATAAAAAATATTTTATCTTTTAATATAAAAAGATTTATTAAATAATAAATTTTAGGTGTGTTAATTATTTAAATCACATATATTTTTATTCAGCGTTAAAATTATTGTAAATATTGAATTATTATGTATGTATTTGAAAACAAACTTGAAAAATATTTTACAAAAAGTATATATTTCATTCAATTTGTAATACATTTTTTTCATTAATAAATAAATATACATTATAATACTTTTTTATTTTTACCTACCTTGAAGTATTAAGTAATTTATAAAAAAATAAATTAATTGTTGATAAATATTTCTTTATTTTTTTAGTAATAAAAGATCATCTTACAGTAAGTTTTGTATTATTATTTTAGTGAAAATTTAAGTTTATTAGTTTTGATTGTTGATGATTAAAATAATTTATCACTGTCTAAATAGATTTTATTTCACTTTCAGAGCAATAACTATAGCAACTGTCACTGCAGAAAAGCCTACAGTTACAGTCATGTGCAGCAATAAATGGCAGCCACCTGTTATAAAGGGTCGTTTTAGTAAATCAGTGTGGTTGGGAAATCCTAGTGAACCAACTCCACCTCCACCTCCAATTTTAGAGTGTCCAAGGGCTAAAAAGTAATAAAAATAATTATTCAGTTTTTAGTAATATTAAAAAATATGAAAATAAATAATTTTATATTTTTATGTTTAATATTACTTAAAAAATTAATTCAAAAAATAGAACTTATTTTCTATATATAAAAAAAATAAAATTTCATTTAAAAACATAAAAAATATAAAATTTTTTTTAGATATGTATTTGTTACAATCATAATAATGTGATAGTAGATAGCAATAGTTAATTATGCATAAGTATATACACTATTAATAAAAGTGTATATATATATGAATCTAATTTATAAATTTGCTATTTCATTTAATTTTAGCAAATTATAATTTTACGTATATTATTCCTTGAAACTACGATTTATTTGTATTTAATTAAAATAAATATATTTAACAGAAAAGATGTCATTTTTTTTATAATATTATAAATATTATACATTAAAAAATATATATTATATTAAATTTCAAATGAAATTGAAATTGAACCGGAAAGACAACGTTGATTGAATTAGAAATTTATAAAATTGTAATATGCGTTGTGTATCAACGCATATTAATTATAAATACGATAAATCTTTATAAATTAATTTTGAATTAATAAATTATTATAATATTTAAACAAGATTTTTTAATAAAATGATAATTTTGAAAAATAACAATTTAATTGTAATTGAAAGATTAACGTAGTAATTGTGGATATCCGCCATTGAGCTTCGAAGTGTTTGATAGCTTTGACGCGTCATTAGTGTTGTGCATGAATATTATCGATTAAAATCAGTTTTATAGTATTATCAGTGTTTGAAATATTTTTGAATTTACTTAATATTATTTCATTGTGTATATAATATTGTGAAAAATACGTGTAAAATATTATATGCTATGAAACGCGTAATTGAACCTGTTCGAAAAAGTTTGCTGGACGTAATCAAAAAAAATCTTCGAGCTACTGGTAAGGTAAGAAATTAATTTCAATCAATTATCATTTGATCAATTTATTTAAGATATCAAGAATAATAATACGAGAATATATTTTTCTCAAGTAAATGTTTTATTTTATAAATAAATATATTTGTTTGAAATCATCAATTCATACTAAAACGCCATCTACTTTCATCGATTTAAATTTTTGAATCTGTTAAGTAAAAACAGTATATTATTTGTAGATTACGTATATAACACGTGTTACGTATGTTGGAGAATATATTGGTGAAAATGTAAATTTAGAACAGGTACGAAGCTAATAGTTAATCAAAGTTATAAAAAAATTTTAATTATGGATAAAGTTAAAATAATTCTATGAAAAATTATAAAACAATATTCATATAGTGCATAAAACATAATTTCCAGCAAATAGAATCTATAATAAATAGTTTACAAGAAGATTATATCAATATCCCCATCACTGGATTGTTCCTTATTTATCCTAAATATTTTGTTCATGTAATAGAGGTGAATTAAGTAAAAAATTATTTTCAAAATCATAATATTTGAATAAATATTTTTATTTTAACGATTTCATGAAGAAAAATAAATTTTCTTATCATAGTCGGCAGAGGATATAATTTATAGACATTTCAAAGCTTTAATTAATTTTGAAAATAAAAAGTGTAAAATAAAAAGAGCAATTTATCTCCCGACTTATCATCATGTTCATCAGGTGAGATTTATAATGAATTAAAAAAAAAAAAAAAAAAAAAAAAAGAAACAGGAATTCTTTAATTGAAATTCGCAGAGATTTTTTTCGCAATGGTCCTATGTGTATTCAATACCACCTTCGTTAATACAACCATTTACATCATTTGAATTGGATGATATTCTATATCAAATGTCAAATTGCTTTAGAAAAATTTATATATTGTGTGATCATATTTCAAATACGATTAAAGATAGCGTAAGTTTTTCTAATAACGAAGTAATGAATTCTGTTTATTAAAATTAAAATCAATCGTTAATATTTATAATATTTTTTATAAAGTCAATTCCAATGAATGAAGTCGTGAAAACATTAAATGAAAAGTTTGCACCATATTATCCTGAAAGCACATTATTAGAGTATTTATTGAATATCAGACATCCTGTAATTTTAACTATTGAAGACTATTTGAAAATATTTTCTGTCACGCCAACAATTAATTTGTATTCAGGTAATTTGTATTCAACGAAATCATTGCGCAAATTTCATTTTTTTTTTACAAACTAGATTATCGAGATACTTAGCAAGTAAAAATTGATTTTAATTATAATCTTTTAAATCTTTTAAATATAATATATACTATAATTCTTTTTTCGTGGAAATTTCTTTTCTTTTTTTGAAAAAAATAACAAACAATAGTTGAATAAAAACGATTATTTATTTCAGAGTATTTACAATATCAAAAAAACGTCTTTTTTTATGGGATACATGAAATTTGTATCACTAAACTAATTACATATACAAATTTCATTCGAATGATTTCTTTTCTTTTTTTTTTTCTTTTTTTTTTTTTTTTTTTTTTTTTTTTTTGATTTCCTTTTGCAAAAGCAGCTGGTCAAATTCAATCGTTAAAAATATACAGGCGATATACGGCTGAAACGGTGCTTTCATGTATTATTATTAGTCTAAAAAGATTTTTTTGGCTCTTATTTCTGGCTACTGTAAGATATATAATAACGAAGCAAATAGATAGTGTAAACGCTGGTCGGTATTATTTGGATATTTTATGGTTATCACGCAAATGTCAATTAATTATATAATAATTATATAATATTTAATGAAATTTTGTATATTAACTATAAAATTAAAATTTGCCATTTAAACAAATATAAAGTAACATTTAATGCGTAACATAGCATCTCTTAGAATATTAATTCTAAGAATTATTATCTATATAGGATTGGAAACAATTCGTGAAGAAAAGAAGATAATGTTTCTTACAAAAGATATTATCATTTTAGAAAATATTACGATAAATTTAATTTAAAAAAAAAATAATATTTATAATTTTTTTGAGTTTGTTGTTTCAAATGTTTATCGAGTACATTTTCATATTCGATTCTTTTAAATTCACTTTACAATACAAAACAAACTTTGATTTACTTTTGTTTGAAATACATACATATAATTTTCTTTTATATTTTATTATCAATCGAATTATTTCCTATCCTGTGTAATTCAATGCAAATTAACAAGAAAAGATATTTAATATTGTGAATATTCATATCTTATCATTTTTTAATTTGTAAAAACGGAAGTGTATCTTTGCCACTGTCAAATAGCATAACGAATTGATAATTGAAAATGAAACACCAGATATCTAATCGAACAATCATTCAGATACTTTGAGGAATTTATATTTCCAATAAGTTTTAATAATTTATATAATTTACATATAAAAAGACCACAAGATGTTTTGTGTATTGATCAAATGATTCTAGAAGAATAATTTCACAAAAGATGAAAGAATATCTTTATTTAGAATGATGGTGATTATTTTGCAGATACCATCTGGCCGGCACCTCGTGATATGATATTCTGCCCCGAACTCAAGAAAAATGATTATAACAAAGATTAATGGGAAAAAACCAAAGCCCATTCATTAAAAACTTTAAAAATTTAATTTTAAAGATTTATTTGATTATCAATTTGGAATCACGTTTGCTTTTTGAAGAATATAATTGATTTTTGAAAAGAAAAGAAAAAAAACTATTTTTCTCTGCTATTATGATATCTCGTGTTTTTTGAACAATGATGATAAAAGTATGATGATGATATAAAATTTCAATCCAATACCGATGCCGTTCGGTTTAGACCGTTTCGTTGATGTTACTATGGAGAATTGTTCGAATAAATTATCAAAAGATATTATATTGGCAGTTTGTGTTGAAGATTTATTGTGCTGCTAGCGAAACTCGTTAAGCGCCTTAGATCATTCGAAACGATACTAGCGCATCACTATCGTGTCAGGATGAATTCGTATTTAAATTTTTGTTCAGCCTTTTAGCGTAAGACGCTTAATACAAGATGAAATAGGTGTTTTTCGTAACGATTAGTAAAGTTCCCCTTAGTACACTGGCTATGCGCCGATATCAATTCCATCAATGGCAATAATAAATAACGAGTTTTTATTTCATTCGCGCGTTTCTCTTTCAACGCAGTGTGTCTTTTTCTCTCTTTTTTTTCTTCTTTTTTTAAATATTACAATCAGACCGTGTCTTCGAGGATAAAACTTAACGACTAAAGATCGAAAGAACACATTCATCTAGAGGATTCGAAAGAACGACTAATTCTCGATAATATTTACACGAACGATTCGTGAAAAACCATTGTTCGCCATTTTCCTATGACCGTATTACACCGAGTTATCTGTTAAATTATCCAGATCTTCCCGTATTTTTTCCTTTTCCTTCTTTTTCTACCAAATATTTTCTTTGGCTGTTAGATACACGCATGCACACAAATGTGTTTACCATTTATTAGGAAAAGGAGACATTTACAGAGCGAAGCGAAAGCTCTCTCTTTTTCTTTCTTTTTTTTTTTTTCTTTTCTCATCTTTGCTGTGCTTAACGATCAAGGAAGCTATAAATATTCGTCTTTTTTTCTCTTTCACGAGCTTCTAGTAACGATTCGTGGATAGAAGTTATACATACCATACAATAATACATTTTTCTTAACGCTTTTCGAAAGTTTACGATTCTTTCGGTTCATTTTGTATGGAAAATACAATATATTTTCTAATCTTTTCATTTTTCATTTCATTTCTACAAAGTTTTAGAATAAAAATTAAATAAGATACAAAGTGAATCTCATTAAAAATGTTAAAAGTATCGAAATAGATCAAATATATCTGAAAATAATTAAATATTTATTCTAAATTTTGCAAATCAAACGAGAATCAAATAATATAACGATCTTTGAATTTTTCAAGCATCGAAACATACTAATAGATTTTTATAAGAGCACGACGAGGAGGTTTTCCTTTTATATGGTTTCCTTTTTTCCTTTTTGTATTTTTGCTTTCATCCTCGAATCATTACGCAGAAGGAAAATCATTACTTTATACATTATACAAATACGTAATTTTACAATAAAATCCAGAATACTGCATACTGACGAAAGCAACGGGAGATGATCCTTTCATGTTTCCTCTTCTTTTTTTTTTTAACCTGCTTTTTTTTTTTTTTTACTTTTTTTTCTTTCTTTCGTTCGATTCATCTCGTTTCTAATGCTTCGTTTTCTTAATTTCAATTTTTTTTTCGATGATGGAAAAGCTGTACGATATGTCTTCTTCCTTGTCATTTCCCCCTCTTCGATATCGAGCATACACACACACACATGCGAAATTCTTGTTCCCATCATTGACTATTTAAACTTTTCTATCTCGTCATGTCGTAGGACATTCTCAGTGTACGTTATTCTGGCCGTCTCGATCGATTTATATACCCATATACATTATTTATACTTACAACGTCTAAACGTAAATTGTACAATGTGTATATTTTTCTCCCCTTATATTTTTTTTTCCTTTTTTCCCCTTCTTTCACCATAATCGGTAAAAGTGGGAATAAATAGCTTCTAGCTTATTCTATCCCTCCCTCCCTCTTCTTTCGCTCCCTCATATTTCTTTTTTTTTATTTTTATAATTTTATTTCATCTTTATATACTATAGCAATCTGTATAAAATATCCTTCGTATTCAAGATATATGTACAGCACGAGCGAAACCCCACGCATATGTATAAGTATATATTTTCCCCTATCAATAATTCGTTCCCGGTTGCACTCGCACGTCTTTTATCATACGCACGATTATCTTCCAACTTCCTTTTTTTTTTTTTACTTTTCTCTTCCTCCTCCTCCTCCTCCTCTTTTCTTCTCTCTCTTTCTTTCTTTTTTTTTTTTTTCAAATATATTCACACACGGTGGCTCAAGAATCGTCCGGTTCAATGTAAAAAGGGCACTTGATCGAACAGAGAGACGTTAAACGCGATGTTCCTATCGCGAGCGGAGGAAATAAATTCGTTAGAAATACAACCGGCCTCGTTTCCAATTTGCGTACGGTTCTACATATATATATATATATAAGTATTCCGCTTCATTTACGCTCACATCGTTTTCGTACACGCGACTGTCGAATGTCTCTGAACACAAAATCGACGATTGGTCGCTTTTGGAATGTTTGTCGGAAATAATCGATAAAAATAACGACCACGATTTCCTCTCGACGATTATCCCTTAATTATCGAGGAAAATTACCACAATCTATCCGTAATCCGTCTTTGGAGATATCGATCGTTCCACGTTATAATAGGGTAACTATTATTCCTTTGATACAATTCAAGATCGCGTTTTTCAATTCTCCTCACTTTATTTGGCTACACGCGAACTACATCCTTCTTTTTATACACATATTTAACTCGCTTAAATTACACGATAGTGGAAGGGAAAAGATACCCCTATACTCGTGAAAAGATTCGAATTTTGTAATCGAAACCGAGAAAGAAAGGAATCATTGTAAAAGATCCTTCCTTCCTTCGCGGTTCCAATTATTGCAACGGAAAACACGATCCACGATTCTTTTTTTTTTATCTATCATCCGTACATTCCACAACGATCCAATCCAATCGTCGCTACCACGTGAATCATCACCGGTACAGAGAGATTCGAGAAACGAAACGCTTAAACGATGAGATAATTGTTCACACGTGGCTGGTCTGCGAGCGACAAAAGTGTCACACGGAGCTCTCCCTTTTGGCCATGACGATCGGCGTGCTCATCTTGCCGTCCTTCTGCGACTGGATGCAACATTGAGCCGGGATCCTAGCCTCCACGTCCTTGGTGAGCAAAGTAGTGCTCGGGCACGTCCTGGTGACCACACCGAGGCCTGTGTAGAGCATCGGCGGGCTCATCGTCATCGACATTGATTGAACGCTTTGGCTCGGCCAGTGTTGCCTCGGCAGTGTGCAAACCCCGCTTTGATAGTCGTCGCCCACTATTGGCTGAAACTGCAATTTATACGGATATATATATACATATATATATATATATATATATATGGTGATCGATGGCCTTTGAACGTTTCAGCTTGAGATTTGTCGTTATTACAAATGGACAAGGCAAATAATCGCATTGTTGTCATCTATGCGCGGGAGGATTTTGAAAACGACGAGCAATGTTCAATGGGAATAATCGAGGGAAAGAAGAGAGTTAGAATGTATATATCTAACTGGAGGGGCTTAGTTGGATGGAATAGTTGTAATTAGGGACCAATGTAATGGCGAATAATCGGAAAACGCATTAGTGCGAATTAGAAACTTACGCTTTTATGCTTCGTCGTCAGATTCGAGAACTCGTGCAACGGCATGCCATTGCGAATGGTGCAGTAACCGACGTAACTGCTGTGCCCGCTTACGGAAGTGACCGTCGAGTGTTCCAACAAACTTCTCGATGGCGATGTTTCGATTGTCGACACGAGCCGCCTCTTTCTCAGGTACTCGGACGGCTCGTCGCCTGTGTACGTACGACAATTTTAAATTGCTTTTACTTGAGAATAATTAGAAATTTTAATTAATTTAACTAATTTATTTTCCAAGGGATCGAGGATATCGTTGAAAGAATTTTGCTTATTACTTCAAAAGTTGGAGTCAAGATATTGTTTGAAAAGGAGAGTATTGGAGATCGAAAGTATCGCAAATCTCAAGTTATACTGTAGTAGCGGATCTAGTCGAATCTTTGGAACACGAACCGGTGATTTGCTGAGGTATGATATCTGGGTTCTTCTCGTCGTTCTCGCTTATGTCACCGCTGCTCTCCAGCTTTCTGAAAGGGCTGCTGGGATGTTTTTCATCCGTGAGCAAACTGCTTCCCTCGCGAAACCTCAGTTCCCGTTGGATGGGAGCCGGTTTCGTTTGTTTGCTGTGCTCCTCCATTTGCGACTTGCTCTGTTCGTCCACCTGCGTGTGCTGAATTCTGAGCACGACCATTACTATTACCGCGACGATGATCAAAGCGGTCACCACGCCGATCATCACGCTCAGCATTGGCATAAGCCTGATGTTCTGTCTCGGCCTCTCTAAAACGATAAAAATGCAATTTTTAATATTGATTTTCTTTTTAACAGACTTTATATATATATATATATTTAAAAAAAATTTAATATCGAATTCTGTCGGTTTCCGGATATTAAAGCGAAAATACGAAGGGAATAATATTCGATTTCGATCGAAACGGATGTGAAATCAAGCTTAGCAACTCGAACGAACCAGTTTTACGGTATAATGAAACAATTTCCTGCCGCGATGGATAAATTATTTCATGCACAAAGATCTCGTCACGACCGCGAATTGAAATTTATCCTTTTCATTTCAGTCTCTCTTTTCTCGATGAAACTGGTTCAAAGTCGTTTTACAATTCGATCTATTTATTCGTACGTGATATTGGAATAATTTCTTTTTTTTACAGCTTTAATTATCAATAAATTTTTAAACGAATTTCATTTAAAAAAGACTTAAATACATTTTGCGATCAACTTTGTATAAAGGACATGTGTTATTTGTAATACGACTTAATAATAAAAAAAATAAGTCTACCAATTTTAATTATATTTAAAAAATTTTCAAAAAATTGATCTATTCGAACGAAGAAATTTTATTCTCTCTTTATTTTTCTCGAATCACCTTCGCCTCATTTGTACCACGAATAACGGCACACTATATATTTCTATTACCTTTATTTTTCGTATAGTAGAGCACAAGTATAATTTTTACTAACCTGACTCTGACGTTAATTGTTTTTCAGCTGGCCTCATGGTCCCAGCCTGAACCACCATCGCCTCGCTCCGCCCTTTATCGTTGTACGCGTAAATGCAGGCCTGGTAAAGGGCGCCCGATTCCAAATGGGTGACGCTGAAACGTGGCACAGGCGATGTCAGATTAGCACGCAATTCCTGGCTGTTGCTCTCCCTCACTTCGAGAAGAAAGGACTGGGGTAGACCGCCGTTGAACCCCTCCGTGCATCGCACCGAGAACGAGTTGGTCGACGTGTTCAAGGTGGTGCAATTGTGAACCATATCGGGCCGACCTGATGCAGATACCGCAGGTAACGTACTATTTTAATATTATTCACGATTCGTGGATCTATTTGTTGAAAATGAGTTCAATGATCTGGTATATTATACTATTGGATATTATATTGTTGGTCTTGATTATTAATATGCCATATTGTCTGATTATGATTGGTGTGCGTCTACTTGTCCAATATACAATTTACATCGCTTGTCTGATCATAATTATCTCGTTTCACTTATCTGGTCCATGATTGCTTCGTTCCTGCCTTTTTATTTTATCTTTCTGATTTTTTTGAAATTTCACAAATCTCTTGATGAATTCGTGACTTGAACTTTCGTTTGAAAATTTTTATTATTAGAAAAAATGACGGGAGATGATAATATAGTTATATAGATATGTTATGTGTTTTATTAAGTCTACGATAACTACTTTTAGATAATTACTACTTTCATATTCATAAGAAATTATAAATTAAATTACTCTTCGAATATTTTTATGCCTACGTTCGAAGATTAATTAATTGATAGAAGCGAAGAGACGATAGAAAGCTATTATTAATGTCGATAAATGGAACGAAGCAATGGATACATACGTTGTACTTTAAAAGGAGAATTATTAAAAATATTAAAAATACTAAAAAAAAAAAAAAAAAAGAAAAAGAAAAAAGTACAAAGGATAAGTTCGTATAACGGCTCTATACTGAGAAATAATTTCGTTGCGAAATATTAGATTGACAAAGAGTGCAGCACTTTATGTTTCGTCTGAAACGCGATCTC